CGGTTCGGGTTTCAGTTTCTGGAGGCGGGACCGTGGGCAGGTGCTCTTCTGCCCGGTGGGTGACCGGGAAATGATTTCCCGGAGAAGTTGCAGAACCAGGGGAAGGAACGGCTTCTCCGACGAGAGAGGACACGTGTCAGAAACCCACACGGTCTTCAACTCGGTAATCGACCCGAATCCATTCAGCAAAACGGCAAAGTTCAGGAACGCATCGGAATCGGCGCCGGAGGAGCGCTCTGCTTTCAATTGAATCGACGGCGAGGATTTTCCATTTCCCTGACTGGCGAGGTCGAAGACGAAGGTCGAGTTCGAGTGAGTCCACTCGTCCGAGTTGGGTAGCTCAGAAATCCAAGACCAGACATCCATAATCGCGTTTGGAAGGTGGGAAAATGGGTTTAGAAGAAAAGCAGAGCAATGGTGGGGAATTTAAAGAAGCAACTGGTGGTGATCGGAAAGCCAGGATTGATGAAATTGAAACCACGGAAACTCCGGGAAGATCTGGTGGTTGATATTGTAAGTTGATATGATCGAGAATTTGTCAGATTCTGGTTCGTGGAAAATTTGAGAGGACATTTAAGAGGGGGTTTTGTTTCACTTTCAGTGCTGCAGAAGGGTCTGAAATTTTGTTGGCCGGAGATGACAACGAAAGGCTTGGCGGCTTACACGTAAAGCGACAAATCTTTGCTTCCATGTAAAATTGTGAATCATAAAAAATCAACAAGATTTTCCGGGGGATGAAAATTAAAATTTGTCTGCATTTTTTGATTTGGACCCTGATTTTTGGCTCATACTTGTGTTGGTTATTGTCCATAAAATATTATAATTATAATTTCCCACTGATCAGTGATGCATACGAATAATATCCAAGTTATTTTTTCTATTTTAATTACTATCAATGTTACAAATTTTAATGATTTACGTGGCATGCCACATGGCCCTCTTGACACGAAACACGTGACTAGGCATAAGCTCGACTACTTGTAGATATGGAAGGCCTAGACCATTCATTTGACTTAGAGATGGAGAATCTGCTAACACCATATATGAGTGTCAAAATGGCAAAGACACACTCTTCAAAGGTATGCGATTTTCTACACAAGTCACTCAAGTTTAGCTTGAAACTACGTCGGACTAAAGTCTAATAACGATGCATGCATGATTTTGTGTGCAAATACACACTCTACACTTGAGGTAAGTTGTAAACACATTGTCTTATTTGTGTGCTAAGTTAGTAGCCACCTAGACTCACTTGAGTTAGGTGGCTTCTCTATGTCGGGCCATAAGCACCTAAACTTCGTGTTGGTATTGTCATAAACATTTAGCTGGTAGTGCTTTGGTGGTACGCTATTTAGATAATTGTGGTTAGAGATCGTGATAGGAAATATCTTTAGACAAAAAATGGTTACAATGTCGTCACTCTTGCCAAAAACACGCATTTTACATTTTATGTCCTTTTTGTATATTCATCTTTTTTTTTTTTTACTATTGAAGCTTAATTTTGTTATAGTGTTTAGTTTGATTTTGAGAATCATTATGAGAAAAACAAAAAGTCAATATTGATATTAATTTAATTTCTTTCCTCATAACCTAATCTATTTAAAAATTCAGCTCATACCTTGGCGAAAATGGTCATGGAAATTGGAGAATAGAAGCTCGTTTGGTAACGTTCTCGTTTTTTGTTTTTTGTTTTTAATTTTATTACGAAACTTCAGTATTTTGCAACTAATAATGTTTCTTGTTTCTCAATTTTTTGAAACATTTTCAAACCTGTATAGGAATTTTGGAAATAATCATAATAAATTTCTTATTCATTGTTTCTGTTTCTAATTTGTTACCAAACATAAATATAAAAATTATTCGATCAACCTTAAATTCATTGGTGTTGGGTCATACAATTCTTTTTTTTTCCATTAAAAACGATGAAACAAAAAATGACAATGTTACCAAACCAATGCTAAGTAACTTGTAGTTCATTAGTAATTTGTAGTATTTAAAGGTTTAATCGTAATAATAATTAATAAATAGCCTTGATGGGCATTTTGGAAAATTAAACCTCTTTCCAAAAATGAGTAGGGTAGGAATTTAAAGCAACGAATTAAATATTTTAAAAGAATAAAATAATTAAAAACTCCTCTCTTTTAATTAGATTAATTTGTCACTAAATTTCTTCGCATTTATTGTATTCCATCGTAGTATTCTATCATAGGCCAAGTCAATCAATCATTCTAAAAATTAACTGTTGATCGGTGATATGTACTCATAACTAAAATGTTTGGTAAATTTATACAGTAAAAATCACAAATAAAATAGGATGGTTGCTGCCATTGCATCCTCAAACTTTTACAAAAGAAAAATTTTGACTTCTAAACTTTCACGAGTAAAAATTAAATCTTTAAACTTTCATAAATGAAAAAATTGCACCCCTAAACTTTTCAATCATAAAAATTAAACCATCGAATTTAAAAGAATTGAATCTATTTGAAAATTCAAAATGGCATGAAAATTGGGGTGGAAGAGGGTGGGGCTTGACACTTTCCCAAATTAACAAGGATTTGTTTGTTAATGTTACCATTTTTTGTTTTTCGTTTCAAATTTTATTAAGAAACCTAACTATTTTGCAATTAAATTATACTTTTTATTTCTCAATTTTTGAAACATTATAAATACAGTCCTAATAAATTCTTTATTTCTAGTTTTGTTTCCTATTTATTATAAAACATAAATATAAATATTGTTTGAACCTTAGTATTKGGTCATGCAAGATAAAACAGAAATAAGAAACGAGAACATTATTGAAATAAGTTTAGTTTGCAATATTTAAAGGTTTAATCGTAATGCTTAATAACTTTGATGGGCATTTTGGGAAATTAAACCACTTTCCAAAAATACAGTGGACCGAGAGTTGCCCAAACGAACCGCAAGCAGAAGCCCTAGACGGCGGAATTGGGATCGGAGAGAAATGGAGAAGGCGCTGAGAATATACGGCGGAGTTCTGCGGCTGGTGCGGCGGTTACCTAAGGATTCCAGGCCTTACTACGCCAAATACGCTCGAGAGAATTTCGTCAACTACAGAGAAGTCGATGCGAACGATGCCAAATCTCTTCAAGAACTCTTCCACAGAGCCTACAATCACTCCGTTTGGGTTCTCAACAAGGTTCTTCGCTAATTCTGCTTTTAAATCTTTCTTCACTTTTCAAATTCCTTTTCCTCTTCGATTCGCGATCGTATTTCATCGATCTCCTTTGTGGTTTGCTTTCTGATGATTATAATCACTAATCAGTATTCGGTGGATCCATCCGCGGCGGATAAGCTGAGGGAGATCTGTTTCAAATAATGCCCGGGCTTCGCGTTGGTTTTTGCCGTGGAAATTGAATCTCCGGCTGCCCTGCTTTTGAACCTTCGATTTGTGTTGAATAAAGATTTTGAAGCCTGCATCAAGAACACCTATTTCTTTTCGTTTCATCTTTTATTGAGAAAATGAACAATCATTTTTCACTCTGCACATAGTTAAACGAATCAAATTTTGTTTTGTATTTTATTTTAGGTTTAAATTTCATCAAATTTATTGGAGTTTGAATGAATGGTTAAATTAATACTCTTTGATGGTAGAGTTGCTGTTCTTTAGAGTCTTATAGGAGCCTTTTTTATATTTATGATTTATGATGGAACAGTATTGTTTTTAATTATATTTCATTTGTATAATTAAAATAATATATGTCGATTGGGTTCGGATTTCCACCTTGACTTGTTGTAGTAAAAAAATTAAACATATCTTACTTCTTATATACTTTTTTTTTATAGAGAGATAATTATTATGTACTCAATAAAACATTATTATTGAACAAATTTCTATTAAAACAAGGGTCATCAAACTTGTTTTTTCAAAAACATAGAAAATTAAAAGTAATTATTGATGGCGAATCGAAATCTAAATATGAAAATACCCAATTAACGACAAACCCATGATGGCACAATCTATCACAGACGACGATCTGCAGCAGCTAGCATTAGCAACGACGTCCCTCTACGATAGTGTGACTCCCTTTTCAGCGATGTCCCTCCACAGCATTGGTTCTACAGCGATGACAACACCAATGGTGCGACAGTCTCAAGCTAGATCTGCAACTCAAAGATTTTCAATGGTAACAGTAGCAGTAGCAGTTCTGAACATCACTGGTTGTTGTTGTTTCGGTTGTGCGCGTGTTTATAAACTGCCGATGAGAAATAAATCCATCTCCATTGAAAAACACCAAGAATAAACTCTACTCTAAGTTTCGTCTGTTAAAGGGAGGGGTTGAAGATTTCGATCAAATTAGTAAATAGGGAGGTAAGATTTTAGGGAAAAAATGGAGACAAAATTTAAGGGATTTGAATGACACCAAACTTTTAACTCTTTTTTTTTTCATTTTTAAATTTTGTATTATATTTTTATTAAATCTATATTTCAAAGGATAAAATTTATAATTTTTTAATAGGTTCCATATATTACGGACCACCAAGTTTTAGACAATATTGTAAATTCATAATAATTAAGCAATTTTTTAATTTAAAACTCCAAATAGGCTAGTTATATACTTTATCCCTAACTTTTAAAAAAAAAAATAGTTATCCAACAGAGCCTAACTTTCTCTCACCGACATACAAAGGTAAGAAACTGAAATTTCTTGTTTTGTTTGACTTGCAAATAATAGATTATGAAAACGATGGTTCATTTCTTACGTGTAATGAACAACAATTAAGGCAGTGCAATTACCTAGAATAGGCATTGGGCAGTGGAGTGGCATTGTGAAATGTGGGCATTACTGGATTTGGCGAATGGCAGAGATGAGCTGAGAAATGGACTTGAAATTTCGCCTTTCCTTAAGAAGCAACTTTGCCAACTCCAGAGCTGGCCTCTCGCAAGCTGCTCGTTTTGTGGGATCACTGATTGATTCAAAGTCCTCCACATGCGCCACTCCCACTATTCTCCTTATCATTTTTGCAGCTCCGAAACCAAGGCTGTCATGGAGCAACTGGCTCAAATACTTGCTCTGAACCAGTTGCACCACCTCACTGTTGTTGTATATACCAGGAAGATAGGCCTCTCCGGGGCCCTCCTCCTTCTTCTGCTCCCACAGTGCAACGAACTTCTTGTGGAACAGATTCCAAGTCTCTTCGATTGTCCTCAGAATCCACTCCTTGTACGCCTTTCGATCGTTCCCTTCCACGGCGTGTCCATCTTGCGAAAAGAATGCCAACATCAGGTTTCCCAGAAAGGCTCCGATGTCGAACCCCATCGGTCCGTAGAACGCGAACTCGGGGTCGATGACTTGAGTTGATTCTTGAGTGACCATGATCGATCCGGTGTGGAGATCTCCGTGAACGAGCGCCTGGGTTCTCTCGATAAACCTGCACCAAAATAATACCACTCGCTACATCGACAAATATCTCTGTAATATGATGTAATGTAATGTCTCAATCTTGCAGCGTTTGCAATCATGCTAAACTAATAAATGAATCCTTTCATAAACAGAACTGAATGTAGCATAAAAACCGAATCAATCGGCTGGCTCTGTTCGGTGTCTTGGGTTTTTTTTTATTATATGTACACCCCTAGCTCCAACATCATTTGGTTGAAAATGAATTATTTTGAGCAGTATTTGGTGAACTCGAAATTCTAAGGGTTAATGCATCTGATCAAGCTATAGAAGCTATATGTTTGAAGCTATATGTTTTACTATCTTAATTATTATATATTCTTAATGAATATAATATAGTTGACAACAGAAAGATTATTAGATTGGATCAATCAGATACATTTAGCCTTTAGGCACAGGCAGATATGCATTTAAAAGCTTTGCCATCTTCCTAGACTGGCTTGTTTAGAAATCTTTCCCATTTGAAGAGAAAAAAAAATGATCAACAAAAGAAGAGTATGACATACATTGTTTTCAACTCGGCAATCTCGGCCTTCAAAATGTTGTCCTCTCTAATAGCCTCAGCGTCATGATCAAGATGCGGTGACGTCCAACGGTTATATTCAGACACCTTGTAAGGGTCAGAGAACACGACTTGCTCGGTCAGCCTGCACAGCTCCACATTCCCACAGAACTCTGCAACTGCACAAGTGAAATATGCAAGCTAAATGACCATGCCAATGCAACAGAGAAAATAGAGTTCTTTCTTATTTTTTGGATGGAGACTAAAACCACTCTAATAGGCAAGGAAGAACATGGAAGTACCGGATGCCTTGTGCACGGTGGTCGAATTACAAAGGAGGGACGTGCCGAAAAGAGTCTTTGCCATGTATTCTGATACGTGATCTGCCAGCAATGGATACTCTATTCCAGCAATCAAACCTTTCCTCAGGATTATATGAGGAGGTTCCAAGTAACGCATGCCGATCAACGACATCGTACGGTCGAAGTGATAAACATCAGGCACGTGATTCGGGCACAACTGTCCGTGCTTTCTCAATGCCACTGCCTCAAAATATGCTCGCTCCTTCGTCATCGGCCATGACTCCCCTATGCAACGAATGTAAGGAAGTGCCTGTATGATCCAAAAAGAAAACATATTTCAAGTGAAACAAATTCCTCCAAGAAACAGGGTCCCTCCATAAGCACAGAGTGTATTCGAAGTCAATTTTGAAAGTCGTGTTTCTGGTGAAACATATCCATAAAAACTTTTGGAAGCTCTAAAAAAAGTAGTTTTAGAATTTTCAAGCTCAATTAAGCAAGCAGAACAATAATCAACTGGGATCAACAAACTAGTCATCTTTCTTCAATCCACAAAACCCTCAAACAACCCTTTAAATCAAACCTCTAATCAAGAAGACTTGCTCCCCACATAAACCCTAAACCCCAAAAACTTCCCAAAAATTTGCTCCCGTTCCAGAACCTCGCACAAATAAGCCAGGCCATAGCAATCGCAACTGAAATTAAACAGATAATAAGCTAAAATGACAAAACAATTAGGTCACCTGCTTGATAACGAAGGATCCGGAGGAGCCCACGACTATGTAAACGAAATTGAGGTTGCCATCTCCGACTTCCTTAATCTTGATGTCATGGAACTTGTTCCCGAGCTTTTCAGACAGCGATGGAACAGCCTTTATGTACTCGATGAGGGAGCTCTCGTCGAGCGGACGGAACTCGGAGAAGGCCATCGGGAGCGGCGGAGGGCGGCGAACTTTGGGGCTTCAGAAAGAAAGCAAATTAAATAGTAGTTGCTTTACTAACACTGGAATCTGGGATGAAATTATAGGAGGGAATCGGAGGAGAGAGGCATTGAACCTAGACGATTTTGGGATTTTTCAATCGAACGATGGAACCGTAGAGAGATTATTCTCGGTTGGGGTCTTCCGCTTGTTTTTGAAGATTGGAGTATCCGGACAAACCCGATTATCAAAATTCCATCTTGGGGTTCGACTCTCAAGAAATTTCTTCGAGCATGATCTTGATTGTTGCAACAGGCATGTTCCATTACTCAAATACGATCAAAAGTTCGCCTTTGCTTTTTCTTGCTCCATTTGACTTTTTTATATTACGTATTTTTATTTGTATTGATTGTTGATTCACTTATAAAAGGAATGTTTCTTAAATTTTAAAAACAAATGATTGTTTACGTTCAATAATAAATTAAATCTCTTTCAAAAACTTAATTATTTAAGTCTCAAATTATCGTTAAAGTATCTTATCTATTTATTTAACTATTTTTTAAGGATGTCATCTTTTTACTTTAGGCATATAAAAATGACTAGATGAGGTGAATTCTACCCTATAAAATTACATTATCGACTCTCCACTTAATCATGGTTTGAATATTAATTTTTTATGTTACCTATTTTAAATATTATGTATTTGTTAAATTTTGTTTATGCTATCTGCATCCACCGTAAAATTGAGTGTGCTCAATTATTTTCCTTTGGCAAATTTGAAGGCCCATTGTTGGGCTCTTTTAAAAATGGGCTTAATTTTGGTGGGTTTCACTTCAATGTACATTCATGTAATCTATTTCTGTGTGACTTGGTCTTATATGGTAAATTCAGGATGGTGAATGGTGCCAATGTGTAATTGAACACATTATTGCACTCAAGAAAAAGAAGAAAAATTAATAGTATGTAGTAAAAAAATCTATTATCACATTAAATCACCTACAATATAATATAATAAAGAAAGTTCGAGAGTAGTTGACTTACACCCGTGTGTGCTATTACGAAAATTTGGACAAAGTAATTGATGATGTAGTCAGTGAAACACATGAAAAATTATGTTAAGCAAAGTGTAACCTGACTTATTTTATGCATGGTCATATTTTGTTGTCTTATTCCATGACGACTATGTTATGTGACGTGTTGAGGACATAACTTGGATGGTTCTTGGTAATTTGTACTTCTTTGAAATTTATATCTGGTTGAATATATAACGCTAGAGTCCCTTTTTTCTACTACTTATTAATTATGACTTTAAAAAATTTGGATGTGGGTCTACTTTAGAAAATTCTTTAATTATAAGATTCAAATTAGAATAGTCACCCCATTGTTTTAAGTTTCCATATGAATGGTACAACTATTATAAATGTCAAAAAAAAAAAAAAAAAAAAACTAATGAATGATCCTCCCCAAGTTAGTATTTGATAAAGTTTTTGTGAGAAAAGGTAAATTTCTTTTTAAGCTTCACATTCTGCAAATTATTCTCTATAAATACTTGTTTTTTATAACATTGTAGGCTACGCACAAGAATATATAAAATTATTTTGACAAATTTGTACTATTAATTTCACAATTAGATGAATGGATTTCACTTTTAGGCAGCATAGGCACATTATGTATTCAACAACTCTATGATGCAGACATGATTTTCCATGTTAGGTTTGAACCAACAACTCGGGTGTGAGTAAAAAATGAAAAAAAAAAAATTTAACGAGACTTCAAATAAGAAACTACCTATCAACTCGTCAATCTAGACATAGTTCAATGAATAAAACACCGGATCAATTGTAAATGTCACAAGTCAACTCAATAAACAACCTACCTACCACCTAATTTTCCAATCTCTGTGGGTTAGTTGAAAGGATTAGGTAGAAAGGGAAGAAATGGTTGTTTTCACAACTCATTTGTTTAACCAAAACCTTTGGAAAAAATCAAAGAGGACAAAATGATAATAGATACCAAAAAAAAAAAAAGGTGCAAAATTTTTCTTCAAGTGCAAGTGAAGAACATGGGCAGGTGTAGAAGGAAAGGTCAAGAAATGAAGCAAAAGGCAAAGGAAAAAGATGGTGGATGGTGGATGGTGGATGGTGGACCCCATTTAATTTAGTGCATTTCAAGGTGTGAAAGGATCTTCCAAACGAAAGGAAAATGAAAGGAAGAAAAGGCCATTTTTATGGTATGTAACAATTATAATCTTTTAGATCTTATAATACTCATTTAACTTTCAGGTATCTTACTGTCAAAACGAGCATATCTCAGTAATTTACATGTATCTCCAACTAGGTTGTGAGTTTGATCCCCATCTCCACAAATTGTACTAAAAAAATTTTCATATATCTTAATTGCTATTTATTGTGAACTATTTAGTAGAAAATATAACATAAGATTCCTTTGTAAAAAAAATAAATATAATATTGTGATACAACTTAACTAGTTAATGCATTATTAGTCTCTTTTAAAAGTTGATTTGCTTTTCTCACTTCCATATTTGAATTGCAATACTAAAAAGAAAATTTACATGATCAAACACTATGACTCTAGTATATTGGAAGTGGTTGTAATGGTTGGATGAAAAACAGTGGTAATTGTTTGATCTTGAACCCGTGAAAAAGATCTGTATAAATTGGTTCTAGAACTTGCAAAAGAATCATAAGAGGTTAAAAAAATTGGTCAATCGGTTTGGTTCTCACCCACAAGAGAGTCGGGACAGTAAAATACTCAAGAAAGAGTTTTAGGTAATAGAGTAGGAATTTTCAGAATCATTCTAAAAATTTATGGTGTCATATCTCCCCTTACTCTAATTTATGCATTTAAATTACGTTGGATCTTTACCATTGCTTATTATTATTATTATTATTTAATTGAAAATTTGGTAAGCAACGCTATTCAATTTAGTGTTATCATACGATTCTATAACCTTAGGGATGAAATAGACATATTATTCAAACCTCACAGAATATCAAATAATTTTTTATACACAAAATTTAATGATTAAAGCATAATATTTAAAAATTTAGAGGCTAAAACAAATTAACCATGAAGAGATAATGAACCAAAGCCGATTGATGGACAAAAAGTTGGGGGACAATCGTCCAAGAACCTTACTTTAGCACCACACGGGCCGATCTGGTTGGCCATGGTCGACCGGCCCGTGGGTTGACCTGCCCATGGGCTAGCTTGGTCGGCCTAGGGCCATGGCCTACAATAAGCTCATCAGGCTGAGGGCTCGAATAAAAGCAACATAAAGACGTACGCCTCCAAATTTAAAGACTCTCTTGATCATCAATGAAGGAACTATCAAATTCGAAATATTGAGATCTAAGGAGCTCAAAAAAGAAAAACTCACCATCATAGTAGGATGAAAATCATACTTGTATCTAAACTTCACACAAATTGATTCTAATTTCATCAGAGCATGTGTGGCTAATACCACGGCGTTACGTTAATGTTAATGTTTTTGTTTTGCAAATCAATTTCCTCACGTTTTAAACTTAATTATAAAGTCTTTTTCCATGAGACATGTCACCTCATTTTGAGTGGTTGAATAACAATAACTACAAGATTTTTTAAAGTTAAGTTTGGCAACATTTCAATGTAAACTAATATATAATTATATTGGGGTTGGTACCAACGAGTCAAAATGGAGGAGAGATTAAATTGACGGGTTCATAATTAAAAATATTTTTCTTATCGACTCTTACTATTTTTAGTCATTATAGTTCTTTTATCAACTCTTACTATTTTTAGTCGTTATAGTTTGTAATATTACACTAGATAAACCAAAAGTTTTTTAGTTTTAGTTTTCTTTTTCTTTTTTAATTTAAGTGAATAATTAAAGCTTAAACTTTAAGAAGATAATTGGTGTTCCAATTAACAGTTTGTTATTTTATTGTTATTATTATTTTTGATAGAAACAATTTGTGATTTGAATGAGCGGTTATTTAGATTACGTTATGATTTTTGTTTTAAAATATTAAACTAATAAAAATCATAGTCAACGTGAACATAGTTTTAAGATGTACTTTGCTCCTTTTCTTGAGGTTGGAAGTTCAATCTCCAATTCTCATATTTGTTGAATTGATGTTTCCTTATTTGATTTTTTAAACACTTTTAAAATCTTAACAAAACTTTTTAGGCTAAAATTAAAAAGATATTTTTATGTCAAATTTGAGTAAAATTGGCTTTTTCTCTCTGCATATCCTACTTCGATCTCTTTACACATTTGCATTTGCAAAAGAAAAAAAAAAGTACACATTTCCTTATCATGTTCCCTCCCCTTAGTTAACTCTCTTTTTCTTTTAATTAATAGTCATAAGTCAAAAATAATCTTACCACGACAGAGAAAGGTAGGAAGGAATAGATCTCCCCTTATGACCATCAAAGAAATGTTCTACCTTCATACTTGATCGTAAAATTACATTGGAAAACCTCTATGCTACTAAAGTTCATACCTGCCTCGAACTTAGATATGCGGCAGTACGACCTATAAAATGACACTAGTAGCTGCTGGTCATATAGTCTATCGAATCTTCAACCTATAAATAGAGGGCTTCACTTTTGTATCAGTTATCGTGTTCTAGTTCGATCTTCAATACTAAGGTCGAAGATAATTTTACTTAAGTATCAGAATGTTTGCTTCTCTTGTACAGATCTATTTTAATCAAGTGACGCTCAAATTGTTCTAGTCACCTCTGTTGATCAGTTCCCATCTTAACCAATTTTGTGAAACATGGTGGTAAGAGAAATAAATTAAAGAATTATGAAAAAGGAATTCAACTTAATTCAATACTTACAAAGTATTCATGGAAATATAATAAAGTAACTTTTTTCTTTTTCTTTTTCTTTTTTTGGTGGAATATTAAAGTAAAGGTTAAAGGTTTAAATTCAAAAGAAAAAATATTGATTTGACTCTTAATTTCGATATTTTGAATCTCATATTTTTTGTCAAGTAAGAGTGACGTCAATATGACGAATACAATACCTACCCGGAAAAAGAGGAAGAAGATCGTACGGCCGAGGAATGACACGTGGCGTAACAGGTTTTAAAATTGAAGTGGACCCCACGGATAAACACGATGATTCTGGTGTGTGTGATACAGGTGATCAGAACCATCCCGACTTCACCAACCCCCAACCTCACCCACTGCTGAGGTGTCGTCTTCCTACCCAAAATTTATCGAAAATATTTTCTACGCAAAATTAATTCCTACATAAATTCAATTTTATTTTTCCGTTTAAAAGTCTCTGTTTTCGTTTTAATTTTTTATACTTTTTAAAATATTTATTTTGGTACCTGTAATACATAAAAGTAATCAAATTTAGTCTTTATCTACAAAATTTAAACACAAATCTTATATAAAATTGAAATGTTTAAATTAATACAAATTTATGTATATGTTTTGAGCGTCATACTAAAGTTATTGTCTACTTTTCGAATTCAAGTTTCATTTTGATTTGAATTTAGTTATTTTTCAAAAAAAATTATTTCTTTTTTTAGTACAGGATAGATCGAACTCACAATATTTTGATTTGAGATATATATCAATATGTCAATTGTCATACTGCTATTAGTTAATAAATATCATTGTAAACTTATCTCAAAAGGTCAAATATTACTCTTTCCTTTAAAGTTAATGCGTGAAATTTCAAATTGGGATCCAAAATTTGTTGTAGTAAAAAGAAAATGAAAAAAAAAATTGAAGTGCAACATAAGCCATTGAATAATATCCTAATTCTCGGGTACGACTTTCAGTTGCTATTTTACGTTTGTTTCCCACTCTCTCTCTCTCTCTCTCTCTCTCTCTCTCTCTCTCTCTCTCCGTGTATTTATTTATGAGCAAATCCTCCGCTCTTCGAAGTTCGACCTCACCACTCTGAAATTCTCTCTCTAACTTCTCTCTTCAAATTCTCCCGTGTTTGTGTGAAAATGGGGAGTGTCGAAGGAGACAGAACAGTAACGGGATTTGCCGCAAAAGACCCATCTGGGATTCTCTCCCCTTACACTTACACTCTCAGGTACTCAAATCTTCCATTTCTCCTTCTCTCGATTTCCTCTTTTTGGGTTTTCATTTCAGTTTATTTGCAGAGCCACCGGTCCGGAAGATGTTTTCATCAAAGTGATCTGCTGCGGAGTCTGCCACTCCGATCTTCACCAGATCAAAAACGACCTCGGAATGTCCAATTACCCCATGGTTCCTGGGTACTAACCTGGTCTTCAGAAATTTTATGGTTTCTCTGTTTTTCTTTTGTGTTTTGTTGATGTGGGGTTTCATTGAAACAGCCACGAAGTCGTCGGAGAAGTTGTGGAAGTCGGATCGGAAGTCGATCGGTTCAGAGTTGGGGAACTGGTCGGAGTTGGGTGCATCGTCGGATCCTGCTCCAAGTGCAGCCCCTGCAATTCCGACAAGGAGCAGTACTGTAACAAGAGGATCTGGAGCTACAACGACGTCTACCACGACGGCTGCCCCACCCAAGGCGGCTTCTCCTCCGCCATGGTCGTCGACCAGAAGTAAAATCCCCAAATCCCCTGTTTTGCCGCACTCTGTATTGCGTGTTCTGTAACTCTGATTTACGATTTTTTTATTTCGTTTGTTGTATTGATGGATGGGTCAGGTTTGTGGTGAGGATCCCGGAAGGGATGTCGCCGGAGCAGGCGGCGCCGCTGCTGTGCGCGGGAGTGACGGTGTACAGTCCGCTGAGCCATTTTGGGCTGAAACAGAGCGGGCTGCGCGGGGGGATTCTGGGGCTCGGCGGCGTCGGCCACATGGGGGTGAAAGTGGCGAAGGCGCTGGGCCACCACGTGACGGTCATAAGCTCGTCGGAGAAGAAGAGGGAGGAGGCGCTGGAGCATCTCGGCGCCGACGAGTACCTGGTAAGCTCCGACGCGGAGGAGATGCAACGCGCCGCCGACTCGCTGGATTACATCATCGACACAGTGCCGGTTTTTCATCCCCTCGAGCCGTATCTCTCGCTTCTGAAACTCGACGGCAAATTGATCTTGATGGGTGTCATAAACACTCCATTGAAATTCGTTTCCCCTCTCCTCATGCTCGGTAGATCTCTCTCTGTTTCTCCTCTGTTTTTCTGAAATTTCATGGAAATGCGCTGATGTTTTGGGGATGAACAGGGAGGAAGACGATTACAGGGAGCTTCATCGGGAGCATGAAAGAGACGCAAGAAGTTCTGGATTTCTTCAAGGAAAAAGAGCTGAGCTCCATGATTGAAGTGATAAAGCTGGAGTACATAAACAAGGCGTTGGAGAGGCTGGAGAAGAACGATGTCAGATACAGGTTCGTCGTCGACGTCGCCGGAAGCAAGGTTCCTCAGTGAACGGCGCCGGAGAAGACCCACGAGAATTTCAATCACCGGCCGGCCGTATTTGGGGAAATTATTACATCTACATTACATATGCTCTGCACTCTGAACTTGGATGGATACATGGGCACGTTTGGTTACTGTTAACAGTTTGTTTTTTGTGGACAATAAATGAAAGAAAAAAAATATGAGTTCTGAGATTTGATGATTGGTTGCGGTTTCAATACGCTGTCGTTTTAGGTATTAGGGTTTGCTTTTTGTATGCGGAAATCGAGGATATTGATAAGCTTACCTAACCCCTCAAACATTCCCATTTTTTTTGTTTTATTAAAGATTTTTAAATATCCGATGACTGTCTATATATTTTATTGTTTTTAGAAACACTCTTAAGTTATATTAAAATTTTGGAAATAACTAATTTCTTCTCAAAATATAAATAAAAGTATTGTTATACAATTTTATTTTTATAAACCAAAAACAGAAACGTATTATCATCAAAAATTTTCTTTTTGAAAACAAAATTTATAGTTATTTATACATGCTCGTATATAATCTTTGTTGTTGATGTTATAGTTTATAATATTTGGATTATTCAATTCGTAGGAGGAGGATTTGAATCTCTAACTTCAATGAAAGAAATAGATGTTTTAATCGTTGAATTACACTCAAAGTTGGTTCAAGTTGATGAATCGGTCAAGTCAAAGTCAACGTATTTAGCAACAAAGAAGGTGCACCACTCATAGCGGCTACCAAATCTTATCCCAAGTATTCGACCATTGTCGAATTGAAACCAAACACCCCACTCTAGTAACAAGAGAAAGGAACAATCAAGCAGTCGCTGGTTAGGAGCTAGCAACTTTCATACACATAGATTCCATCATTAATGTTTGAATTTCTTCTTTTCAATATAGTATTTATAGTTTAAAAAGTTTCGGTTCTACATTTATGTTAGTAAATATTTATGAGATTCTTGTTAAATTAGTAAAAGTTTAGAAAACGAATTAGGCCGAGATAATAGTGACAACTTGAGAGTAACTCAACTTGTTTAGTCACTCATATCCGACCAAAAAATTACTCTTGTTTAATCACTTATATCCGACAAAAAGTTCGTTAGTTTGAATTCTCAAACCCGCTTATTGTACTCAAAAGAAAGAAAGAAAAAAAAAAGAGAGTTCACTTCCAAATTTTGTAAGTTCGGTAGAAATTTCATTTTCTTTCTGCGTGTAACAAAATAAGTTTATCATTTATTTACTGATGAAAATAATTTAATTAAAAATTATACAAATGTTGGATCGAGTTGAAGTTTTTTCAAACAATAGATACTAAATTAAAAAAAAAAAACTACAAAAAAATACATATTTATCTGAACCAGTGGAGACACATTATTGTATAAAATAATTCAATCACGAGCTTAGTAAGCCGTACATTGAAATCTTATCAACTAAAGATTGAGAAAGTTTATGATAATCTTAATAATCTTTTTTTTTTTTTTTTTACAATCACTTTCTCGAGTGAATTTGTGAAAACGACATAACATAAGGCCGCTAAGGACAAAATACGACTTAGCCTATATTCTTAAATTGTTGATTATAAGCTTTGAAAAGCCATCAAACTAATCGTAAAAAAATTTCAATCGAATCCCTGTTGAAAACTAAATCCTTCTACAAAAATGGGAAAAGGAAAACCAACTCATCCCAATTACTAAAGATAAATAAATAAAAAACAATTATTTATTTTAGCTAGATAGTTATAGATTTTCAGAACATCAAAAACAAAAAAGAGTGTTTATGACTTATGAGAATGAGGAAAATAAATTCTTATGAAGCTTGAATTAACATTCTTTTTAATCATTAAGCTTCAAAATCTTACCCTTTTCACCCTTCAAGTGATTTTTATATCATCAAAATAGAGAATTGTTATTTTTTATGTAGGTAAAAAAAATTCATATTTCACCTCAAATTTTCACGATGATAAGCATGATGAAGTTCCCAAACCATATAATCATGGGGAAAAATATAGAATAAATATCAAGGACAACAATGAAACACCTATAACAAAGAAATAGGAAAGAATAGTGGAGAAAAAACAAATATGCATCATCAATTGGGAATATACCTTAAAGTTGTTTGTCTCTTGAATCTCTGACATGAATGAAATAGTATTCAACTGTGCATTTCCCTCCCTCAAATTTGTGTTGAAGTTGCAAAACAGAATTCAAAACACAGAAAGAAAGAAAGAAAGGAAAATTTTCAGTTGCAGATAAAGATAATGGAAACTACTCTAAAGAATATGACTCTTCGCTCCAATGTCTATACAGGTACAGCCCAGCTCAAAATTATAGCCAAAAAGGGGGGAAAGACAGAGAAACAAATACCAAAAAATCCTTCTCTTCAACTCCGCCCAGATTTTTGCTACTTCTTGACAGTGATTTGTTCATCTGTGTTTTCTTTCAACCCTAATCAATATCATCTTCTTCAATTTCGAATCGTTTTTGCTGTCTTTTTACCCTGCGTTCCTGAATTCTTCGTCGTTCCTTCCATAACACACCTCCCGTTCTTTACATTCCGCCATGTAATTCCTCACCTCTTCTCTAATCATCTCCTGCATCGCAGACAAAAATTCCGGCCCAAAATTCGGCCGTTTCTCCTCCGCCGGTGAGGATATACTCTGCTGCCGTCGCGGAGGGGAGGAGTACGTTCCGGGAAGAGACAGTGTCAGCTGAGTCGACGGCTCGATGTTCAGACTCGGCGTCGAATCGCTCGTGTCGGATCCCGACGGGCTCAAACATCGATTCGAGACGGAAATCGTCGATCCTTGACTGGTGCACTCTGTTTTCTTCTCCGGAGGCTCGTCCGCGGCGGTGCCGCCATAGTCCGAAATCGAAGAGAACTTCCGCTTCAATGTCGAGTTCCAGTGATTCTTAATCGCATTATCCGTCCGTCCGTTGAGTAGCCTCGCGATCGTCGCCCACTTGTTGCCGTACCTGGTGTGGGCCCCGACGATGATCTCGTCCTCCTCCGCCGTGAACGGCCGGTGCTCCAAGCCAGGGGAGAGCTGGTTGCACCACCGCAGACGACAAGATTTGCCCGACCGGCCGTGGATCGACTGGCTTATAGCGGACCAGTTCCGAGCGCCGTGCCGTTGCACGAGCATTCGCAGCAACTCGTCTTCCTCGGGGCTCCATGGTCCCTTGACCCGATCGACGTCCACCATGGCCGATTCTTAATCCACCAAATCAACAAACACAGAACTATAAAATCAAACGTCCAATTTCAGATTGAGGAAATAGAGAGAGATAACCGGAGAAGACCGTCGCGTACGGCGGTGGAGAGCGATGCCTCCAGCGGGAGGAAGCGGCATTGGGGGAAGAAAAGGGGCGAGAAGAGGTTTATAAACCTAAGGGTTAGGGTAACTGATAGAACCGGTTAACCGACTTCGATAACAAGAGGCATATCAACCGGTACTGCCCAGTTACCGGCTCCATTCTGTACGGCCAGATAACTACCACGCGGCTGCCACGTAAGCGCGTGGATCTTGGGAGATCCAAACCGAAACTTTTCGTTCGTTTAAGGGAACAAACGTGGGAGAATTTTTCGGCGATAATCAAATTATCGCGATATTTTGAAGAGTTGGCGGGTTCTGGGATAAGTTTCACTGGTGCCAGGCTGGAGTGCATTACGTGTGGGAAGCGAATTTGTTTTAGTTTTTCTAAAGTTAAATTACTATTTAATCCTTTAAACTTTTTTTCACTACTTTTTAATCCTATATATAATTTGTGGTTGGTTGCCATTTTCTTTGTCAATTTAATGATTATTTAAAGATTTGGCAAAACACTAATATTTAGCCAGATTAATGACCATTTATGAGATTTGATCATACTACAATAATTCAATACAAACATCGCTCAAAGTTAACCTTATAAAATTAGATGAGATTTTTTCCTTTTTCTAATACTAAATTGAAAATGTGTAGGGAGTAAAATGGTAATTTAGAGATATAGGTCTAAATTTTCGGGTAAAGTGGGGGCCACGAGGAGTGAGGAGGTGGAGAAAACGACAAAGATGGTCGCGGAATTAGAGAAGCGAATCTGGGGTGTCAGTCCAGGCTGGATGACAGGCACACGGACGTCAACTTAAACGGCTGGCGTGGTGTCCACCGGATAGTAGGCGGTTACCGGTCACCGCTCTACCGTTACAGACAATATAAAAGGAAACCTTGTAACAGACTAGGTTCCGTTTCCTTTTCTTCCTTCTTCGGTTTTAAATTTTAAATTTTGTTTCCACATTTGAAAATTTTCCTTTCTTTATTCCAAACATTTTTAAAACTCGAATCTGTATATTGTTTCAATTTTCAACTTTATTTTATTTTGGTAATTAAACTCTCAAAATTTTCAAAAACCAAGGGTGGTTATAAATTATAATCAGATCTTTTATCTCTCAATTTAACCAACCATCTATTTAGATTTACAATTTTTTTAATTTTTTAATACAACAGCGCCTTCTATGCCAAAAATAGATGCTTTAACTTGTATTTTACCATGTTTAAGATTTTTTTTTGGGAGTTCACAGTTATTAAGAGTTTAGTTGCAACAATTTCTTAATTCCAAACGGTGATTTATCAAATTAAAAGTTTAAAAAGGTCATTAATGTTTTTCTCTTTTTCTTTTTCAATTTTTTCTTAAATATTTTTTATTACACGGTGTGAATATGTGGTGGAGATTCAAACTCACAATAAAATATATGTTTTGTTGAACTAGATTAAGACTGGTCTTATTTATTAAATTTAGGATCTGAAATTTAGATTTTATAAAAGTCGGTTGAATATTTGATAACGATAAATAGATTGAACTTTGAATTGTCTATAAAAAAAAATAGTGGGTAACTCGGTTGATGATTACCTCCTTTTTTGATTTAGACTCATTTTTCCATTTAAATTTTAACATACAGTTTCTTAATGTAACTTTAACTTTATAGTTTTATTTATTTATTTTTGAAAATTTATAGTTGTATTTGAATGCGTTTAACATTTTTTTTAAGGAGAGAGAATATTAAATTTTATCTTCAACTTTCAATTCTTACTATATAAACTTTTAATTTTGTTAAATTGCACCCTGAAGTTTAAAAAGTATGACAAATTTTACGTTTTAATAAATATTTTTTGTTTTTTTAAAAGACATTTTAATAAATATTTGTTTTAAGAACCATTGAAAAAATTATTTATCAAGTACGTATAATGAACAGTAGAACATATATTTGATAAATTTATAGGATTTAGAAAAAAAATGACAGCATAGATGATTCTTTTATTATTATTATTTTGTAAGTTTTGATGTAGTTATTAATCGTCAATTTTGTGCATGGATTGAATTTAATTTTGTGTGAAATTTGATAAAATTAATCGATGAAACAGCATAAATTGAATAGGTGGCAAATTTTTCAATTATAATTGTATGGTGAAATTTGATACAACTTCGCAAGTTTAGGGGTACAAGTTGATTTTTTTTTAAATGTCAAATTTGTTGAGTTCATTTATTTTATTTTTTAGTACAACATCTGTGGAGATGAGAGATTAAACATTCGACCTCAAGGGAATGAGCAGTATGTCTTAATCATTAAACTATGTTCATGTTGGTCCTTTAATTCAATGCTTACGTGACATGTTAATTATATTAAATAAAGATTATATGGTGTGGCGTGACAATTTAACCGCACCGAGTTGATGGGGCCAAAATCCAATCATGGTCGTGAAATATATTTTGTAATCTATTTCATATGTAACTAGTACTTAAAATGATATCATTTGTCCACTTGAACATAGCTCAAATGATTAAGATACCAATATTCGAAGTTGGGAGTTAAACGAGGCCACTTGCCATGCTTCAGTTGCTAAGTTTGATAAAATTTTCTTATATGCTCACGTTCAAAAATTTTAATAGCTACATAGGTACAACTATTGAAATTTAAGATTGTTAAAGCGAATATGGTTTGGCGGTAATTGACAAAAGGTTGTGAGTTCTCCAGTAAGCCCATTTAGCTTGTTATTGACTAGTTTCTCGGTAGGAATAGGCATCTGATGGGTCTGATAAACTAGTTTTGACATAGTTAAGCAGCAAGAATCTTTCGGTAGTACCCGGTTGACGTTTTAAACTTGTTTTGACCCCGTTAAAGGTTATATATATATATATATATATATATATAATTTACAAATCCATTGTTGAAATAAAAAAAGTTTTAAATTATAGTTTAATTTTTATCTTTAAACTTATAAAAGTGCGTTTAATAAGTCCCTGAAATTTAAAAAGTGTCTAATAAGTCCTTAAATTTGTAATTTTGTATTTAATATATCCAAAATATATATATATATATATATATATTAACTAATATATCAAAATTTTAAAATCCATAAAATCTATAGACCTATTGTGTCTAATATAATTCCAACGTATCTATTGTTGAATTTTAAAAAATGAAAGACACAAATTTGATGAATCTTATGGACCTATTAAATACAAAATAAAAAATTTAAAAACTTCCCTCAAGTGGGTCAAAGTTCAGGGACTATTTAACAAAACATTGGAGGTTAACGGGGTGACTTTGTAATTTAAGCTAAAAAGGGTTAATTACGAGAAAATGAAAAAAAAAAGAAAAAAAAGAAGAAGGGAAGCTTATATAATTTGTGAAAGTTGTGTGGACTTTCTTTAATATACTATTTCTTTTGATGTAATTTCCCTCTTACCGGTGGTGAGCCTCTCCTTCTAATCAAGACTTCGAATTCGTACGGCGCCGGACGGAGGCGCGAAGCCACTGCTCAGCGGCAGCCCACAAAGATCAAGATAAAGAATTGGTAGTTTAATCGGAACTCGAAGAAACATTGCCGCCCAGTGCCAGAAGAACTTTCTGAAATTGATTGAGGAAAATTTCACAATCAGGGATTTAGGGTTTCTGGGATTCCATGTCAACCGGCAGACTGAAGGACGGGGACCGTCGGCTGGTGGTTCCGATGCCACCCGAACCAAAGTCTGAAACGCAGCTGGCTTCAACGGACTCGAACGCGCTCGTGGCATATACGCCGCCGGTGAAGGAGGAGGATGAGGATTTGGAAGTCAAGCTCCGGAGAATCATTGATAACGTTCCTGTTCGCGTTAGCAACACATCTGGGAGTTCTGCTGGTTCTGGTTCCGGTGACTTTCATCAGGTACTTTTGTGATTTATGTTGTTTTATATTGCATAGATTTTAGCTGGGGTTGATGCTCGTTGATGATTTTTGTTTGGGGTATTTCTCTCTGAACTAATTTCACGATGAATGCTTGACGTGTTAATGGAAAATTGTGCAAATGCATTGCTTGGAGTGGTTATCAACGAGTGTGAAATGCATCTTAGGTCTTGTGCTAACAAACTGGTTTCGGCACATTTCAGTAATTTAAATTAGTGAGAGTGGCAACAGATGATGAGTTGGAGAACTGTTTATTGGGGGAAATTGGTAGGTGTGAAAATCCTCACTATTTTTAGATCAAGATAGTTCTCCCTTATTTTGATGGGAGGAACTTGAGTACAGAAAAATTCGTAAATTGGGTCTAGCATGTAGATAATTTCTTTGAATATATGGACACTTATAAGGATCATGATTGGTGGTGTATAAATTGAAAGGTCCCGCTTTGGGTTGCTGAGACTAATTACGAAACATTAGTAGGGCGAGCTGGAAAAGGTAGAATCAAAACCTGGCAAAAATGACAACTGACGTTGTAGAGTACAACTGAGATGTTAGATTACCGAGACTAGATGTCTTGGTAATAGCTCTTTAGGTAATAGCAAAACCTGAGCATGTAACCTTTATTCAAAATCAGAATGATGTTGAGGACTGAAGAGAAGAGGCAAGGTATTTCACAATGCTTGGTCTATGTCCAAAAACAGGGAAACTATCCACCACTATACTTCAGATTCTTATTGGGGTGGATGTGGAATTGTGAATGAGACAACAATGTCTTGTTGGCTCAAGAGTGGGATGCTTGTGTTTTTGTTTTGATAACCTAACATAATGAAGCTTTTTTCATTTATCATTTTAGAAATGCAGTTATCTTGTAATTGAAATATCGTTCATTCGATTAAAATTTGCTGGTAACAGTAATTACTCTTATGCTCTTATGGTGTGGGGTGGCATAGCAACTTGATGCTAACTATATGCTAGTATTTGCAATTAAATCGTGCCTCTGCTGAAGTTAGGAGTAGGACCTACCCCTTTTAGATTTCTTCATGGTTAAGAAAGTTTAAAATTCTTGTGCTACTTTGTAAGATTTGAAATTGACATCGTAGAATTTGATTTATGACTCTTGGAAGGTTTAAACACATACTTATTGTGGCTTAGTGGGAGAAATTGATTGGAGTACTGATGTGCTCCTTGCACATGCACCCAAAATTTCATATGGTTACAAGTAATTGATAGATATCATTAGGAGGATTTTATGGAGATGCCACTATCAATTAACCACGGAATAGTTATTGTCGGTAAACTATCATGGGTTGGCTTGACCTATTTGTCCAAAGGGGCCAAAAAGAATTTAGTGGGAACGGGTACAGACTATGGTGGCCATTGGCCACCTACCTTTTTTTTTTTTGATATCCATGTGTGCAGGGCCACTGACCACCTACCTAAGATTTAATATCCTATGAGTTTCCTTGGTAACTGAATGTAGTAGGATCCGACGGTTGTTTTGTGAGATTGGTCGACTCGAGGTGCACTTAAGCTGGCTTGGACATTCACGGATATCCAAAAAAAAAAAAATAGTTGTAGGTAAATGAGTACTCTGTTTGCAGGCAACGCTCTGAGATTTTAGTTAGAGGAAAGGCAGTCCCTGATTTTGTTGGTTTTGTGTCATCCATGAAGGGCTAATGTCATTTAATAGAAGTGGCATGGTTCATAATTTGATTCTTTTGGCCAACCATATTGGCAAAATACAGTTTGACACAAAATATTGCTGTTTATTCTTGAGGTTAAATGGATCTACCATATTTTGATGGAGTTAAGAAAGTTCAGACATAACAATGCAGAACTAAACTTTTCCACCTATCTTAATATCATCTGATTGACTATGTTTTTAGGAAAGAAAATCTCCACTTGTGTAGTTACATCTACAATTTTCGCTCCAAAGTGCTTTAGACCTTTTTGTTCAATCCATTTATTTTCCCACCCACTCTTAATGATGAACAGCTATTCTTGAATTTATGGCAGTATGTCTCGATCCTTGAATTATGTACTAATATCTGCTTGTCCCATCTTTATCAAATGACAGTATAGGCAAATGAGGCGAAAAGAGCAAGACAGACTTGCTAGAATGGACGTTGATTATCAGAGAAAGAAAGAAATAGCCGAATTCAATATGCGAAGGGAAGAGAGATTGAAAGCTGCAGAGGAACGCACTGAAAAGAAGCGCTTAAAACGCCAAAAGAAAAAGCAAAGAAGAAAAGAAAAGAAGAGAAAAGTGAATTCAGGCGGAGATGAGAATCAGAAAGATGCATCCTCCGGTGATGACGGGGATACAGATAATGGTGAGGATGAAGCTACATGATTGATTCTTTTCCAGCTGGAACCGGAGTTTTAACTTATAGCATCAAGCTTTTTCGGACGAGCATCTATCGAACCAGAAGACAGCCACCAGTTTGCCTACCTGTCATTTAAGGGGTCCACAATTCCTTGTCAACCGTTTTAGTACCCGGATCTGTTGGCTTACGTGTTTCTATTGCAGGTGGAGTTGGAAGAATGGTGCATTTCGAATACAAATTCCTCCCATATCTCCCACAGGACACCTATTCTCTCTCTTTCAATTGCATGACATCCAATCGTGTTAGCAGAATATCTATTTCGTTTCATGTTGAACAGATTGACAGTTTATGAATCTGAGTTTGAGGGATACTCGTTGCTTATGATTTATGAACAGCAGGGATGTTCTTCAATGAGTAGAGATGCAAAATTTTGGTAATCTGATTCGAACTCACCATTTGACCTGCAGTTCTATAAACTGATCGAATCGATATAGCTTATGAGAGACGAAACTCGCATGCTAGTGAACAAAACCTCAAAATTTAGGCATTCTTTGACAACCACATTGCATGCTTGTTTGATGCTGTAAAAATCTACCTCAAACGCCTAGTCTCTTGTCAAAGATATTTTGATGAAGTCAAAGTTAGTGGTAAGTTTGTGTATATTTTGACCTCTACTTATTAATATGTTGTAAATGTGACGAAAAAAAGTGTTGAGGTGTTAGGTTGCTTCTCTTGGATTTGCATTACCATGGAGACCAGCTTTGGCCCACCCTAAGTTTCAAAATTCATAATAGGGTCATTGATAATATATATTTTTAGATAGGGAAAGTGGAGATTTAATCGTCAAAGCGAGTCTAGTTCAAYGGTAATTGACATGTATCTCAAATCAAGAGGGTGCGAGTTCGATCCTTCATCCTTACCCATTGTATTAAAAAGAATTATCAAACTTTGTTGCTAATAGCTTAATATTTATTACTTTTAAATTTATCTTGCCCATTTATAAAGAAAAAAAAAAAGCTCTAATGGATATATGTTTCTCCACTTGAGTTTGAAAAATATTAGTTAACATAAAAAATATATATAATAATAAACTAAATTATTTTTATAATTAGTTACTTTTTTCATCCAAATATTTAATATTTAAGTAGATATCATTGTTACTAAAAAAAAAAGTAAATGTCATTAAGTATCCAAAGAAAACCATTATTAAAAGCCATTATTTTCATTTCCATGCATTAATAAAAACCATTATTTTCTACTAGTCTTTATTTTTTGAAAAATGATGGCCCATGGAAAATTAATGCCCATTAATATTGTTTATGAAAATAGCCCCGTTTTTTTACAGCTTATATAGCCTTGGAACTTGAAAGTTCTTTTTTCGACAAGAATAACTCCTCTTTTTATTTAATTTGACAATAATAGCCCTCGAAAGTTGAAGCAATATACAGAGACCCGAGCCCAGCCCAAAAGGAAAATAAAAATAAAAATAAAGAAATAAAATTACAGTTTTTTTTTTGTCTGTTCAGTTTTGTTGCGATTTTCGGCTGTTAGTATTCTCCGTTTGCTCGCTTCAGTTCTTCCATCTTCGTCTCTCTCCCTGCTTCCGATTCCCTCAATCTCTCTTTTGTCTGAAACCCTAATCATTTCCATGGCATCTAATTCTTCTCGTCGCATCTCCGTTCATCAAGCGCTCGGTGGTGGTTATGGTACTGACCTTTATATTTTTCCAATTCGAATTCACATTGATGCTTTCTTATTCTCTCCTCGATCTGGTTTTAATGTTTTATATGCCTGAATGTGTCTTCCGATCTTTTATTTCTTGAATTTGTCGAATTTGGTGATTTGCCTGATTTTGTGTTTTATTCTATTAAATTAAATATATTGTTGGTTTGCTAATCTAGCTATTGATGGTAGTGGCTGATGTGCTGTTATGGAGGAAATGGTGTGGAGGGGCTGTCATACTAACGTCTACAACAGCTTTGTGGTACCTGTTCGAAAGAGCCGGTTACAACTTTTTGTCTTTTGTCGCCCATGTTCTATTGCTTCTCGTCGTCATTCTTTTCTTCTGGGCCAAGTCTGCTTCCCTTCTCAATAGGTACTTTGGGTTTCTCCCTTCTACCTGTTTTCAGTGCTTTACATTGTTTCATTTCCCAATCTCCACATTTTGGGTCGAATTCTGTGGAGTGGTTATGGTCTTTTGATGGATGATGAATCATTAGGATCCTTCCCAGAAAAATTAACTTTAACACCATACCATGTAATAGAGCCTAGAGGAGACTCATTTCACTGTGTAATGTGGTAACTTTTAGGATTTCAAATAAATATTCGTATGCAAATTTGGATTCCTTTTTGTGGAGCCATTAGTGCAAGAGAAGAACATTTTCTAATTTGTGGCAAGAAAAACGAGCATGTAGATTTTACAAGGTCAGATGTATTGGACTGATTTGTCGTAGGTTAGTTCTGATCAAGTGTTTGCATTCTTAAGGCTTGAATGTAAATTGCCATAGGGTAAAAGTTACCTTACTTTGTGATTCAGACCTCTACCTCCACTTCCTGATCTGGAAATTTCTGAGGAATCTGTTTCAATGGTCGCTGAAGAACTGAGATTTTGGATCAATTATGCACTATCAATTGCACGTGATATTGCAATAGGCAGAAACCTTAAACTCTTTCTTCAGGTTCGGTATTATCCCTTACTTGTCTTTTCTTCTGTGATATATGGGACTTATGTGTTAATTATTTATGCCAGGTTGCTCTTGGACTATGGATTGCATCATTCGTTGGAAGTTTCTTTAATTTTCTTACGCTGGTCTATATCGGTGAGTTTTTTGGGGCCCTTATTTCTTTGTAATCAACATTTTCAAATAGTATTGCTGTTTTTTTGGAACAATTTTATTCATTTTGTTAATATATTTTTCAGGGGTTCTTCTAAGTCTTTCAGTTCCTCTAGTGTATGATAACTACCAGGATCGCATTGATGAAAAGTTATGTGTAGCTTATAGATATGTACAGATTCAATACAAGAAGCTTGATGAGACTGTCTTAAGGAAGATACCATTACCCTTAAACAAGGAGAAGAAGATGCAATAGACATAGTACTCGCTTGACGTTTGGTAACTTCAAAAGAAGTGAGCTGGATCTACCTTTTTTCATAATGTTTAGCTCAATTTTTGTATTCAACCATGAATATTATTTCAGATCAATATAAAGTAATTATTATGTACTAATATTATAATGTCTGGTTAAAAAATCTGTTATTTGTCCCTTTTTTGTGTTTTTTTTTTCTTTTAATTTGAGCATCAGTTGATTTCCCTTAATCTTAATGCCGATCAAGGATTGTTGGATTTTGAAACTCATGAATAAGTTCTGTTAGCTTTGAGATAAGTTTATTACTTCTTTAATTTAGATGTCCTACTTATTAATATCTTAGAAGATTCCATAAAATTCTTATCACTAAGTTTTCAACTTTGCTGATGAATTAGTTAATTGTAATTTTTCTTTTACATGAAAGTTTCATTATACTTGATTACTTAGACACGTTAACTAGTTACAAAATTTATTTTCTCAAGTTTGCTGGGCTTTTTGTGGCTTAATGTTGCCAGTATTTTTTACATCATTTACTAAAATAGTGATCGCATTTTTTCCAATTCTAGCAAAACCACCCATCAAAGTCATTCTTACCCATTGGTCATTAAGGGGTATTCTCAAAATACATATACTGAGATTCACACTCTCTTTTTTTAACTATTATTTTTCTGAAAATGAGCTTGTCAAAGAAGTAGACTTCTATGGCAAGTAACCAATTTGTCAAATGTGTTTATCTTGTAGCAAAAGATTTAAGATGTGGGTAACACATATATTTTTTTTGATATCCCGTGGGTAATATTATGTTGTTCCTATCATCTTAGATGGCTGTTCTAATCCTTGAGTATGTGCTATACTGCAATGGTTTATCCAGTATAGTTTAATTGATCAATGCTAAATTGGCAATATAAGTTTATCAGTTTTTGTGAATGGTAAGAAACGTTGCAGATAGAGATTCATTTATGGTGAAATTATAACTTATAATGCAATGGTTTTTGTTTTCAGTAGACCTATTTGTTATCTTCCAATTGAAGAACTTGTGTTTAGTGTTTTCTCCTTTCTTGCATAACGTCTTGTTTTAGTTTTATTCTAACTATTGGAGATCTTTCTTTTGTTTTCTTTTTCTTTCAAATTTTACACTTCTGAATTTGAATCTCTTGTCTGATTTGCTTTGGTTTCTTGTTGCTACTTTGACGTATGCAGACGCACATTGGCTTTCAACAGGATGATCAGTAGATCAGCAGATTTTGATCAGAGGCACTAAGATTGCATTTATAAGCGATGTACTTCAGAATACTAGATTTTTTTAGAAAGTTGTGGTATATAGTTTAACATAAATGTATTCTGACAATGACTTTGGGGTGAGAACTAAAATCACTAGCGTTTGGTTTTGGATTGAAATATTGTGTCTCGGCTTCCCTGGTTTCCCACTCTGGGTTCTGTACTCTTGATTTTTGCAACTGTACTCTGCTATTTCAACTAAATGAAGATGAAATTTTCATGGATTGGAACATTTATTTAGCTCTTGCAATTTAGTTTTCCATGGCTGTGAGTTGTGCCTCGATTGTAATGATAACATGATTTTGTGATAACATTTTTGGTTTGTTTCAGAGTTAAACATACACTTTCGTCCACACGTTCTTAACTTTGCATTTCACGTGTTGAAACTTTAGCCTCTTAAACATGGTGTTCAATTTAGCAGCACCTTGCTTGATACCTGTTCTAATGGTTTATGGTTCAAGATTGTTTTTATCCCAAGTTGTATGAGAAGATAGAAGACAAGAGTGAAAATTTTTCTGATCTTTACATGTTGCTTAGGCTGATTAGTTGCTTTGCTTGTCAGGTGTAATGACAGAGAAAATGACCCATCCCGTGTAAGTAAGGCCAATGTAAGTTTCTGAACCTCACTTTTTGGGTAAAATGGCAAGCATCTTGGTGAGAATAAAAAATTATCAAAGAAAGACTCGCATGGAATGGAGAGATTATTATTACTGGGACACTACTGTACCAAAGCACGTGTGTTTTTGTCCCCTGGTTTGTATGGGGTTTTGCAAAGGACGCAAGTGTTCCTATATATTTATTTAAGCTGTCCAACTCACTTACGGTTCTTTATAAAATTCTCAAGTGCATCTTAGTTATGGCTTATGATTTTGGCACACACTAAATTATATATACATTTTCCTGCAAAGTTACTGGTACCAGGCACATGGTATGTGCCAAACCATAGGAAGCAAAAAAGGACAAAAGAAAGGCCAAAAGGATAGAGAATTTATTGCACTTTATAGAGGTGTTTGCCTTTTTAGTTTGGCTTAGTAAATTGAATCTATGCTTGACATGTTTGTTTACTTGTTCGAAGTTATGGATCTCGTGTTTAAGACTACCCGAACTCGGGTCTCCTCGGAGAAGGCTTTATGCTGGGAAATTCTGTGGGGGTGTTCCATAATTGCTGTGGACAGGTAAACTGAGTAAGATTTTTGGAGAGAAGTGAATTTGAAGCTGATACTGACTTTCTTGGGCACTGATAGGGAGAGAAAGATAATGCTTTAAGTAGACGGAAGAATCATTCATTTTTCTTTTCCAAACTCTTTTTAGATCCAAAGGACGAAAGACAAAGGCAAAGAGCATGCATGCATGCGTCTCTTAGGGAGACCAATGGCTTACTGGAGAACAGGTTGCTCTTTCTGGGTTGTTTACAAAAACCCCAATTATTCATTTGTCAGAGATCAATTTCTAATCATTCTCTCTTTTCTGAACAAATTCTAATATCAAACTTATGCAATCAAATTCTGTTTGATCATGAAAACTTCTCAAAACCAATATCTATGTTGAACCATTGAGAGATTTGCCTTGTTTTCTTATTTGATTCTGTTCAAATGAGAATGAAAATTAGTTCAAATGATGGAATAGGAATAAAATTCCCAATATTGTGTTTAGATCGATTTTGTTTACTAATCCTTAGAATGATCAATTTAAATTAATTATGGGTTTACAATGATTTTTGAAAAAGAATTACTAATTTAAAGTGTGTTTTAGTTTAGCTCCTTAAGGGATGACTAGAAGTATTTCTTTTTTAAACATACCACATTTGGTGATAGGCAAAAAAAATATTAAAAAAAAAACCATTTTTGAAGAAACACTTTAAAAGTGATTGACAGTTTAAGCATTGAGAGACGATTACTAAGAAAAAAGTGATTAAACTATAAGGAATGTTCTCGTGGGAAATGAAAAAAAAGAAGATAAATTCTATAAATATCTAGATATGAGTAAGAATTGTTCTTCGCTCTTTAAGAAAAAAAAGGTTGTTTGCCTAAAATAAAAAATCTAAATCCTTATTTGGTGCAGGACCCATAGGCTAGAAATCATTCAACTTGTAGTAAATATCATCTATGTGAATGTGACGTTAAGAATAACGAGTTTAAGAAAATGCATCCCGAGGGTTTGAGTTGTTTAGAATATAAATAAATAGCATAGAGATTCTTATAGTAGACAATAAATAATCTCAAACTATATTGTCAAACCAATGTGCCTAAGTAGTTGGATTTCCTTTTTAACATAAAGATATTGAATCACTTTTGTATGTGAGCTTTTGAATGTTTTGCATTTGAGATCACATTGAGGAGTTCTAAAATTTCCAATTTTATATTGGAAAAGACAAGATCTTGGCCATGGGAATCTTTGACAATGCAATGTGGGAATCAGAGGGTTGGTGGTCCTATCTTAGGCCAACACAACCATCCCATTTATATCATCTTTCTAAGGTCCATATTTTTCTTCATTTTCTTTTGGATAAGAATTCCTTTTTTGTTTTGATTTTAATGGCAAGTATATGTTTCAACATGAAGAACTTGAGGATAAAAATGATGTAAGATATAATAATATAGAGAATACCAGCTTTTAAACTTCCGAGAAAACATAAATACCGATGTCAATCTGAGTCTAACTGAACTAATTAAGGCATATATCTCCGATTAAAAGGTCGTGGGTTCGAATCTCCACCCTATGGATTGTTGTATTAAAAAAAGAGAAAAAATTTAATGTCGATGAAAATGTCGAAGTTTTAATCTCATAGAGATGTTAAAATTATGGTTTTTTTTCCTTTCTCTTTGAACTAACATGCTTGACGTCTCGTCTCATTTAGACCATCCACTCTTGAGAAAATGAAATATGTATTCAACCAAGATAGATTTATATGAAAAAAAAAAAGACCATCAATATTATTTTGAAAGAAAATTCATTTTTACATTGATATCCTAAATGAGTCGATTTAAATTTTTTAACCATAAATTTTTAATTTGTACTCATTAAATTGATTTTAGTTCCATTCAATTAAACCTTAAACTTAAATAAGTTATATAATTAATAATTTTTCAAAACTAAATTAGAAAATTATCTATAAACCCACCAATAAACAACATCATATTTACCCAACAAAATACTAAATACCAAAGTTAGCATAACTCAATGTAATTGATATATATCTTCACCCAAGAGGTTGTAAGTTTGATTCCACTCCACATGTTATACTAAAAAAACGAACAAAACACTGAATTTATTTTTATTATTATTATTTTTTGAATAGGATTTTCACCTTTCTAAAATGAATCTCAAACCCACCTAAATTTATTACTATTTTTCCTCGATGATTTGGGTTCCCTCCCAAAAAGATGAGAACTTTTCACACCCTTTTATGAATTTGACTATATCCAGACAAAAGCTTATTGTAAAGTGTGAAATAAGGTAATATTATTATATGGTTTTTGTTACAAAAAAATATTTTGTCCGAATATCTTTGAAACTTTAGGAAAATGGTATCAAAAACAGGACATAGGCTCGTGGGTACGATCAACTTATGTCNAAAAAAAAAATCAAATTTCCCACCATCCAATTTCTATATTTTCACAATAATGCCCATACCTTATCCTACATTCATAACTTCACCAAACTAAACGATATAACATTAACAATAATAATAAAATTAATATAGTATATGAATATGAATACATAATGTCATAAACCACCAGTACTATAGTCGATTATGATATATATATTCGATTAAAACATCAAAACATCAAACTTTAAAAGAAAAAATACTTTATAGAACTTTAAAAAAGTTAAATTAAATTCAATGTTTGTGAAATTTTAGAATGTAAAAGTAAAAATTCATAGCCGTCGTTATTTTAAGCTAGGTGGCAAGTTTTTACTGTGGGTGGAAATGGTTGGTTACCGTGGTTAAAATGCCAAATTTACCAATCCATCATCATTACAAAAGATTGAAATGATAGTACAAAATTGGTAAAAGAGATGCTTAGAAGCTGGTCAAGTCAAAGATTGTATCCCAATTTTTTAAATTAAAAGAAGTATTTTCTTTTATTCCAAAAGTACATTTGATGATGAATTGTTTGAAACTTGTTCATCACAAAGATTTTTAAGAACCAATTATTTCGCTCTAGTTTGAGAAAAATTCCATGAAATTATTCTATTTATTTTTAGTATGAGGTGAGATGGAATAATATTAAATAATTATTTATAAAAAATAAAAATATATAATAGAGGAGTAATTACTAGAAAATTTTCAAATTAATTTATATCTACTCTACTGTCATTTTTAGTATTAAACTACTCATTTGGTTTCATACTTTATCTAATATAACCATTTTGTACCTATATTTTAAGATTTATAGTGTATTTTCGCTAGTGATTTTGATATTTGTCGGATCAAAATCATTTACTATATTATTAGTAGTGTGATTTTAGAAAATCAATTTTACTTAAATCTCTTTCGGTCAAAATCACGATTAGGATAAATTATATAATTTTTTAACCTTAAAAGCTTTAGGGAGCCCAAGAATATTTATGGGCTCCACCCAAGTAAACTCCCAGCTACAAGCAAGTGATGGCTGTTAGTTAATTAGAAGTGAGATGGCCCATGCCCAAAATTGAGCCTCTCAAAGAAGCCATAGCCATTGCTGAAGCTGAAGAAAACGCTGTGAAACTCAGACTTCTCTCTGAAACCTTTCATGCCTTCCAACTCACTCATGTCATCAGATTCCTTCTCTCTCTCTCTCTCTCTACAGAACTTCAGTGAGTCTCTTTCTGCTTCCCATTCTCCTTCTTCTTCCCAATGATTTTGTTTTAGGAGCCTAGAAGATGCAGGATCTGTTGCAGAAGAACAAATCATGAGCTTCAAAATCACAAATCTGCCCTTCTTTTTTCCTCCTCTTCTTCTTCTTCTTCTTCTTCCCTCTCTGGCCCTGGCCCTCAACGGCGATGGCCTCCTCTTGATTTCTCTCAAACGCTCCATTCTCGGCGATCCCTTGTCTGTTTTCGCCAATTGGAACTTCAACGACGCCACCCCTTGTTCCTGGCGTGGAGTCACCTGCACTGATCTCGGAAGCTACGGCGGCGGCTGGCCGGATGTTCTCAGAGTCACCGCCGTCGCCCTCCCCGGCAGCCAGCTTCTGGGTTCCATTCCTGATGAGATTGGAAGGATCGAGCACCTTCGTCTTCTCGATCTTTCGAGTAATTTCTTTAATGGGTCTCTGCCATTTTCCATTTTCAATGCTTCCGAGCTTCAGATTCTTTCCCTTGCCAACAATGTCATCTCCGGCGAGTTGCCGGAGTCTATTGGGGGTTTGAGGAGTCTTCAGGTTTTGAATCTGTCTGATAATGCGTTGGCCGGAAATGTGCCCGGAAATCTCACTACTCTGCGGAATCTTACTGTCGTTTCTCTGAGAAGTAATTACTTCACCGGAGATGTTCCGAGGAATTTCAGTTCGGTTGAGGTTTTGGATCTGTCTTCTAATTTGTTTAATGGGTCTCTGCCAGCGAGTTTTGGTGGGGAGAAATTGCGGTATTTGAACTTCTCTTACAATAAAATTTCGAGCCCCATTCCGCCGGAGTTCGCCAAGAGGATTCCGGCGAATGCGACGATGGATCTCTCTTTCAACAATCTCACTGGGCCGATTCCTCAGTCACTTGCTCTGCTTAGCCAGAAAACAGAGGCGTTCGCCGGAAACGAAGATCTCTGCGGGAAGCCACTGAAGCACCTCTGTTCAATTCCTTCTTCACTCACTACTCCACCCAATGTTTCCGATACTTCATCTTCTTCTCCGGCAATCGCCGCCATACCCAAAACAATCGGCTCTGTTCCGGCCACACAAACGACCGGAGGTCCAAACGGGACACAAGCTTCTCAGCCGCAGAACAGCATGAAACCCATCACAATCGCCGCCATCGCCATCGGAGATATCGCCGGAATCGCGATTCTCGCCGTCGTGATTCTCTACGTATACCATCACCGGAAACAAAAAACCCCCGATTCCAAAACCCTAAAGTCCAAACCCGCCGAGAAGAACCCGCCGATGGGCTCAGAACAAAACCCCCACAATCAGAAGAAACCCTCGTCGGTTTTGTTCTGTTTGGCTAACAAAGGCGAAGAGACCTCGGAGGCGACGAGTTCTTCCGACGGCGAAGAGAACAGAGAGAAATCCGGCGAGGAAAAAACAGAGAGTAAGAAAAACGGCGTGCTCGTAACGGTGGACGCCGAAACGGAGCTCGAATTGGAGACTCTGTTGAAGGCGTCGGCGTATATACTCGGGGCGAGCGGCGGGAGCATAGTGTACAAGGCGGTGCTGGAGGACGGCACGGCGTTCGCCGTCAGAAGGATCGGCGACGGCGGCGGCGCTGAGAGAATGAGGGATTTCGAAAGCCAAGTGAGAGCCATTGCTAAGATTCAACATCAGAACTTAGTGAAAATTCGAGGGTTCTTCTGGGGAGACGACGAGAAGCTCATCATCTACGACTACGCCTCCAATGGCTGCCTCGCCGGCGCCATTCACAGTAAGTTCTCTGCGTACTTTAGCCTTCATTTCCTCCTTTCTCTAACATGCGCCTCTGTTCATCGTTTTTTCCCTTATTGCTAATTTACATTATTTATAAAAATTTTTTTTTCTATTTATTCATTTTCTCTGCCATTCTTAGAATAATTAAGTCAAAATTTTGCAAAATTATGCTTACTTTCTTCTCAGTTTTTTTTAGCATATTTTTCACTACGAGACATTTGAATTGTTTACAATAAGATTCTTTTTTTATTTTCAAAATTGGCCTAAATTTTAAAAATGTTTTAAGCATCTAAATTTTGTTGTCGAACCAACCTAATAAATAGATTGTTTTATTTTTTAAACTTTGGAACATGCGTTTGATATTTCAGTCCTTTGTAATAGTCATTAAATATTTGAAGTCATATGCGAGGCAATATATTTTTAAAATAGAATATTCAAAATTAAAAATTTAATGACGAATTTTGAACATAAATTTACTATCATAGAATATAATCTCAACAAATCCAAAGAAAAGTAAAAGGAAAAGGATTATAATGAGTAGGGTTAGAGCATCTCTTTTTGAATAAAGTGCATATTTTCCAATATATTCAGACATGACCCATTTTGTCTTTTATTATGTTGTTTTATAACCTCATTCATAATCATATCATTGTCCCTACTTTTTGAACTAATTAGGAACTTGAGCCCGTGACAACCTTGGTTCTGTTTTTTTTTTCTTTTTAATTTACAATTCAAAATGAGATATAAATGAGATTTAAATTTAAATACCTAAGATTTTGATCGAAAAATATATGTCGTTAAATTATGTTCAAATTGATTTGATTTTACTATTTTTTTCACTCAATTATTTAATAATTCATACTTAGATTATTTGATCTAATAATTATTTGCCAACGTGGATAAATTATTCTCAAAACATGCTTGGTCTTGAATTTATTCCAAATTTATGGTAAAATATCTCTTGAGAACAACTTTAGACAAATTATGATGGTTATGTTGCTCAGTTTAGGCACAAGCTCCAATTATAAAGATCTTTGGTATAAAGCATACGTAGAGTATATTTATTATTTAATAAATAAATCGCTTTTCGTAATATGTTTAGTCCAATTAAAAAGAAAAATAACGGAATTGACCTTTTTAAATTCAGGAAAACCGAGTTTGTCGTCTTCTTCCCAGAGCCACCTTCCATTGGAGGCCCGACTGAAGATCTTGAGAGGAATCGCTCGCGGGCTGGCCTTCGTCCACGACAAGAAGCACGTCCATGGCAACCTCAAGCCCTCCAACATCCTCTTCAACTCCGATATGGAGCCATTGATCAGCGATCTCGGCCTCGACCGGCTCGTCTCCGGCACCTCCAGCGCCAAAATCGCCCTCGCCTCCGGTTCGGCCAGGAACTTCGGGAGCCACAGGTCCACGCCGACTCGCGAGCACCAAGACGGCGGCGGCGGCGGAAGCCCGGCGGTGAACCTGGCGTCGGGGTACCAGGCGCCGGAATCTCTGAAGAGTCTGAAACCGAGCCCTAAATGGGACGTGTACTCGTTCGGGGTGATGGTGCTGGAGGTGATGAGCGGACGAACGGTGACGGAGAGGGAGGTGAATAATCAATGGAGCGGCGTGGGATTGGGGGCGGAAGATGAGGGGCGGATGAAGAAGATGACGGATCCAGCGATCAGGGGGGAAGTGGAAGGGAAAGAGGAGGCGATGATGGGGATTTTTAGATTAGGGTTTAACTGCGTTTGTTTTGTGCCGCAAAAGAGACCCACCATGAAAGAAGCAGTGCAGGTGCTTGAGAAAATGTCTGCAACCATTTCTTCTCGCTAATTGATAATCATGGAGTATTTTCTTTCTCTGATCTCTACTGTGGATTTTTTTTGTTGTTGTGTTAGGATGGAAAGTGAAGCGATAATTCTTGTTCTTCTTTTTGAGATGGATTTGATTTGGGATGTAAAGCGTGTGGATAAAAATCATAAATCAATATTAATCTTGGAAGGAAAGTGGCCTGTAGTTTATATTGGACTCTATTTTCCAAATCTCTCGCTGTCTGGGTTGAAACTTGAGTTTCTCTCTCGTTTACGATTTAATTTAATTTAAGTATTTAACAATTATTTTTTTTATATTACGATAGAAATTTTGGAAATGATATATATATATTTATTGATTCTAATTTGTTCCGAAACAAAAATAAAAATATATATTATTTTTAATTATTGAATGACCTATGTATTGGACTATGAAATTCTATTTTTTCTTTCCTTAAAGGTTGTTTTCCGGGTTGAAAATGTTTCTGTTTGGCAAATTCGTTTTTTTTTTTTTTACTTTTTCAGATTCAATTATCCAAATGTGTAAAGTCTTTAAAACAACATTTGTGTGCTTTTTAGTGTTTTCATATTTTTTTATTTGAAATATAATAATTAAAAAAAATAAAAATTTTGATAATTTCATTTTTGGTAAAATTAAAAACTGTAAATACAATATATTATGAATTATACACTATTGTAAAATAATAATTCTACAAGATTTATACCATACGTTTTAATAAATTAATTAATATTATTCTAGGTTAAACTAAATATTTACCCAGGGTGGCTACCACTGGTTTATAAATATATTATTAACATTCAACAAATTTTTAAATTTATATTCAAATTCTTACCATCAAACACATATTAAAAAATATCCTAAAACATGGAATACAATTTTATTTTTTATTAAATTATTTGTTTACAGGTCACCAACTCAACACACCCTGCCAACAAACTATGAGAATGAACTAGAATTTGAGATTCATTTACAAGGAAGATTAATATATAATATGAACTTAGGATGTCTTAAGATCCAAGCAAGCCACCTAAATTGGGTCATTTTCATTTAACTCATTTGATCTCATATCAGTTGGATTTAAATATTAGTTTGATCCTTATTTTTAAAACATTTATTTTAATTTAATGTACTTTTAATTTTTATTCATTTGGGTCGTCTTTTACAAATTGAAACTAAATTGACCATTTTTAAAAATACATCGATCAAAATAAATATTTTAGAGTACAAAGATTAAAATAAATAAAATTTATCATAAACACATGAAATTCAGAAATAAAAATAAACAAAATAAAAAAGTGGGAGACCAAAGTTTTTCCAAAAGATTACCGTTGCATCTTCATCTTTCTGATTGTCCAACGAGATTTCATCAATTTTTGCTGTACATGCTACATTTGATTTCCAATGTCATCTCGTAATTTAATAACATAATTTAAAAAAAAAAATGTTAAGTCAAATTTGGTTAATACAGCTCAAAAAAGGATGTCTTGGAAATAGTGATACATTGGTTGGTACTCAGAGGGGGAAAAAAATAAAGTGTAACGTTCGTTGTCTTCTTACAAAAAATACGTTGAACAATGAACGCGGGATTTATTTCCAAACTGCCTTAAAATTCATCAGATTTATTTCAACAAATTTATATTAAATATTAATTAACGAACATTAATTAATAATGTGTTGTTGATCGGAGATAAATCAATAATTAAGCAAATCATATATTAGTGGATCACAATTCACAATGATGTTGAATTATTAGTTAGTTTGATTGATTGATTAACCACAAATATAGTAAAATTTGGAAAGCGGATCATCCAAGTAAATAAATCCTATTTTTATGTAAATCTGAGAGTTTTCCCACCGTTAATCCCAAAATTCTAACACCGATTTAGCGTTAAATAATCCAATTTGCAGCCACTCTCATCAGAAGCGCGTGAGTTTCACGTCATCCACCAAACGCATATCTCTTTCATTGGCTGGCACTCTGTATCCATCACAATCACTAGCTAAACCTCTCACCTCTTCTATTAAACCCTAGATCTTCATCTTCCTCTCGCCGTCGCTCCGCCGTACCGCCGACGACAAATGGCTGCCTCCGCTTCCCCTGCACTCCGCACTCCTTCGCTCCGGTTTTCTTCTCTCTCTTCCAAGCTTCCTGTTTCTTCGGCTTTTTCTGTTAATCTTCGTCCTCGGAGTGTTGGCGGGGGGCCGCGGTTTGTTGTGCTCGTTTCCGCGTCTTTGAATGCGAAGCCGACGGTTCTTGTTGCGGAGAAGCTTGGTGAAGCAGGTATTGATCTCCTCAAGGAATTCGCTAATGTCGATTGCTCGTATAATTTGAGCCCTGAGGAGCTCTGCACCAAGATCTCGCTCTGCGATGCGCTTATTGTGCGGAGTGGGACTAAGGTTAGCCGCGAAGTGTTTGAATCCTCTGGAGGGAGGTTGAAGGTCGTTGGGAGGGCTGGTGTTGGCATTGACAATGTGGATCTGGCCGCCGCTACTGAGCATGGTTGCTTGGTGGTGAACGCTCCCACTGCCAACACCGTGGCTGCCGCTGAGCATGGAATTGCGCTTTTGACTGCAATGGCCAGAAATGTTGCTCAAGCCGATGCGTCTACTAAAGCTGGTACGTCTTTTTTATTTGTTTGTCTTTGTCATAAACATTTTGTCGAATCTTCGTGTTCTGTAGCTTGTTGTTTGCTTTGGATCCGCTCGAAACCAGGGAAAGGGGAAAACCTACGGAAAGATCTCGACCTTTTATCTTAACTTTGGACGAGCATTTCGTTTAAATCTTTTTGAAAAATTATTTTAATGTTTAAATCTAATGTGCCCTAAAGAAATYCCTTGCCGATGTGGTGGTTCTTGAAGTACGTTTTTTTTCTAGTATCCATGCGCAGTAAAAGGTTGAAACCTGTCGGGGAATTTTATGTTGAAAATTCCTATACTCTACTAGTCTGGACTTTTTAGTTAGAAGTAAAAATAATAAAGGAATGAACAGTTTCTCTCTGCATCGGACGTTCTCTTTCCCTTTTGAGCCCGTCGGCAAGAATATTAGTCCACGATGTGATGCTAGACTTTGTTGGGTGTGATGTTGTACACGAGATGCTAGAATTTTATGTTAAAACGAACTATTTATGATTTACATTTTATCCTCCATCGCAGGGAAGTGGCAACGCAACAAATATGTAGGTGTATCGCTTGTCGGGAAAACACTGGCTGTAATGGGATTTGGAAAAGTTGGATCTGAAGTTGCTCGTCGTGCAAAGGGACTTGGCATGCATGTAATTGCACATGACCCATATGCCCCAGCTGATCGCGCTCGTGCCATAGGCGTTGAGCTTGTGAGCTTCGATGAAGCCATTGCAATTGCTGATTTCATCTCTTTACATATGCCTTTAACTCCAGCCACGTCAAAGATTCTCAATGATGAAAATTTTGCGAAGATGAAGAAAGGAGTTAGGATTGTGAATGTTGCTCGTGGAGGAGTGATTGATGAAGAAGCTCTTGTGAGGGCGCTGGATGCCGGAATTGTTGCTCAGGTTCTTTTCCTTCGTTTACTACCTGACACTGAAATTTCCTAATTAGTATTTAAAACGCAAGGATGGTATCGTGTTTCTTTTTCTGATAGGCTGCACTTGATGTTTTCACTGAGGAACCACCCTCTAAGGATAGCAAGTTGGTTCAGCATGAGAATGTCACTGTCACTCCCCATCTCGGTGCCAGCACAATGGAGGCTCAGGTGTGTGTTTAAATCAGAGAACTTAAGCTTGTGTTTGCCTTTTTATAATTTATGACGATCTTTGAATTTGGTGTGCAGGAAGGAGTTGCTGTTGAAATAGCTGAAGCCGTTGTTGGAGCCTTGAAAGGGGAGCTTGCTGCTACTGCTGTCAATGCTCCGATGGTTCCTGCAGAGGTAGAAACCCTTAGTTTTGGAATCTTCTATCACTCTCGTGTTTCATATATCGAGGTCACTTGATTCAGACGTTTACCTGAAGTATTTCTGTTCACCTCTGTTCTATTTGTTTTATTGATCTTCTCGCTTTCCAAGTGGCTATATCTTTAGGTTTTCTGATTCATTATGCTATGCCATCGAGTAAATTTTGTCTTTTGAAATGCTATCATTTATGTGATTTAGAAGAACTTTTTAACAAGTCTCCCCATTTTTAAAGCTGGACATGGGCTTATGAAAGAAAAAGAGAAAAATAGTGATACTCCAGCTGTGTGCCGCGTGTGGGTTAGAGAGATTACTTCTCTGTTGGTGTCTCTTAAGTCTTGCGAGTATTTTCAGAAACCTCTCTGTTCAGCACTACTACCTGCAAGTTATAAGTGGATGACTTTTTTAATTCGTTACTTGGGTGTACTGATTATCATGGCCCGCTGAGTTGTGATTTGCATCATCATTATTCATCATATATTTTATTGTTAATGAACTAATTCTCAAGTTTCTGGTATATTAGGATTTAAACAAAGTATTATTTCTTCCCTACAGGTGTTAACAGAGCTGAAACCATTTGTTGTACTCGCTGAGAAATTGGGAAGATTGGCTGTCCAATTGGTAGCTGGAGGAAGTGGTGTGAAAACTGTGAAAGTAACATATGCTTCTTCTAGAGCCCCTGATGATCTTGACACCAGACTTCTTCGTGCCATGATAACCAAGGGTCTAATCGAGCCCATTTCTAGTGTTTTCGTGAACTTGGTCAATGCTGATTTTACTGCCAAACAGAGAGGACTAAGGATAACCGAGGAGCGAGTCATTCTGGATGGGTCACCCGAGAAACCATTAGAATACATTCAGGTCCAGATCGCCAACGTGGAATCAAAATTTGCCAGCGCTATATCAGATAGTGGAGAGATAAAGGTGGAAGGACTTGTGAAAGATGGAATCCCTCACCTCACGAAGGTCGGATCCTTTGAAGTTGATGTAAGTTTGGAGGGTAGCATCATACTCTGCAGGCAAGTTGACCAGCCAGGTATGATTGGAAAAGTTGGAAGCATTCTTGGAGAAGAAAATGTTAATGTCAGCTTCATGAGTGTTGGGAGGATCGCTCCTCGAAAGCAGGCTGTTATGGCCATCGGTGTCGATGATCAACCCAGTAAGGAATCTTTGAAGAGGATTGGTGATGTTCCAGCGATTGAAGAGTTTGTTTTCCTCAAGTTGTAGAATGTGGTCATGAACATGACCCTTTCCTTCCTTCTTTCCCCCATCGTTCTAGTCTGTGTACCACCCTCTCGGGATTTGGGTACATTCCTACATGTTTGGCCCCAATTTTGACAATTTTCATTAAAATAAGTTGGTTTGTTTTCTCAACTTTTTAAATGGAGAAATGTGCTCTACTAAGTTGTTTCAAGAATGATTATATATACTTTGACTGGATGCTCTTRTAGTTTCTGCAGCGTTTGGGACAACAATAGACAAAGTTTGTATCTCTATCTAACAATGATTCCATCCTCTAGAAAATGACTACCAAAATGTTCTGTTTATGAAGTGAACAGCCATACTTTGAAGTGCAAACTTGCCTTGTTTGTATGAAGTCGCCAAAATGTTCTGTTTATGAACCCAAAATAAAGGGCACCTCAGCAATAGTTGTTGGTAACGATATGTTGAGGTTATGAAGAGCTAAATAGGCAGCAATTCCAGCAGCATACCCTGCAAATGCGAAACCACTGACCTGCAGAAGAAGAAATAGACGAATAAAACACTCAATTCTTAGAAATCGGATTATCGTTTCATCTGCTGAATGTGGAAACAGGGGCATCACCTTTCTTAGGTACCAAAAGAAATCCACCTTCTCCATCCCCATGAATGCAACTCCAGCTGCAGATCCAATTATGAGCATGGATCCACCAGTACCAGCACAAAATGCAATCAGTTGCCAGAACTCGGAATCTCGAGGGAAGGAGGATAGATCATACATTCCCATTGTTGCGGCAACTAGCGGTACATTGTCTATTATTGCTGATACAACACCAACTGCACTTGCAATGAGTTCAGCATTCGCAATATGAGCATCGAGGTAGTTTGCTAACTCGCGTAAGATCCCTGCAGCCTCTAAGCTGGAAATGAAAATTCAGGCTTGCTTCAATAGATGCAATGTAAATAAGGCATTGCATTCTTGATATAAAAATTCAAGTTCAGATCAGAATAAACATTTCAGATCAAGGATTAAGTTGTTATGTTGCAAAGTTGTTATGTTGCATATTGCACACTGGAAGTACAAGAAATGGTATAAAATCTCGAATGGATGGTAGATGGTGCACTCACCTGCTGACAGACAAAAGGATTCCAAGGAAGAAAAGCGCTCCCTGCGTATCGATACGAGATAAAGCCTGAGGAACTTTTAACTTTTGCCTTTCCGATTCGCCATAGTGAATTGCATCAGTGAGAATCCAAAGAATTCCAAGCCCAAGCAGCATACCCATGTAGGGGGGCAAACCTGTGAGGGCTTTGAACACTGGAACAAAGACCAAAGCTCCGACACCTACAGAGAAAACAAGCTTTCCTCGAGGYGCCATCTGCTCGGATGCCATGACATTAGGAAATTCCTGCCCCTTCACATTGACTTCACTGAATCCAGGAAGAGAAAAACTTGCAAATAAGTTCAACCTTAACAGAATTCCTCAAAAGAAATCTCGACTTTCACAAAACCATAACTTTGACTTAGGTGCAAAATCTACACCTTGTTAGAGACAGAAGAGCCAGTGGAACTGCAAGCGAAACAGCTGATGGTACAACCAAGTCCTGCGAACAAGATGGACAACGATTGATATATAGATGAACAGAAAATAGAACTGCTATAAAGAAGTAAAATTACAAGATTTCCAAGAACTTCAAGAAGTCCAGACTCTTCCACAAACTATTACCAAAAATCTCCCAACCCCAAACACCAATAAGCATTTCAGATCAGAATAAATTCATCATTCATAAGAAAGAACCACAATAAGTATTTCAGAGATAGAATAGTACTTTGACTGTCTGCACAGTTGATATCTGACCATGTATCCACAGCATGGTGGTGGTTACATCTCCAATCGGTGTCCATGCTCCACCGGCATTTGCTGCTATCACAATCACAGCTCCAAGTAGCCTGTTTCGTATGATCCGTTTCTTAAATTGAGATCACAGAATTGGTTGGAAACCAATGGTTTGGCCAATTCCAGAAAAGGAACTAACAGAACTTTCTAAATACTGGACGATCGAATGCATCGAATTAGACATTAGACGAGAATTGCATTTTGCACTCTCCATGTAAATCTAGTTTTATGATCAATAGATAGAGTATACAGACAACTAACATCTGCAAAGCTACATATTATTGTGCTGATATGACAGCTGGGGTTACTAAACTGTAGGTAAGCAAAATAAGAGGAGAAATACCAGATTTCAGACTGTTCAAGAGGTCTTCGTCTCTCCCTCAACTAGTTTAGTGATTTTCTGATTTGCTTACTTGCATCATCTATTTACACTTTTCTAACCATACCAGGAGGGTCCCAGTTCCCCTTTCTAACACACGAACTAGTCACGCTCATTCCCACACTTCTTATTCCTAGAATACGTATGCTTATATGAGGCTTGTTGACCCTATCATGTGCGCCTCAACAACATGAACCAGTATTTTACACAGAGTGCTATATATTAGACATGTACAGCCACTTAATTGTATAATAGAGCAATCACGAATGTATAAGTTGTGCATTATCGGTATCATACTTGCGATACTCTGATGGAGGAACTAGTTTTCTCAATAGAGAAACCATGATAATTGTGGCTGTCAGGTTGTCGAGGATCGAACTTAGAAAAAAGGTTACACCTCCAATCTGCAATAAAAGGATTTTAGCTGTGCTTTTTCAGTATAGTAAGTCAAAGAATGTAGAGATTAGTACAACTAGCTCGAGGGTCTCAAGTAAATAAGAAGGAAACAGATCTGTCTTCCCCATATGAAAAGGCAACCAGTATAGACAAAACAAACAAAATGTTCGGAATATTTTCCTTCATTTCGATTCATCGATCGCCTGAGATTTTTTTTCACGTCTACCAATTTAATTGAAACATGTAGGTGAGTTTAACAATCAAGTAATGGACAAAAGTCAAGACCCTTACGTTTGGAAAAGAATTTAAATAAAACACATCAAGATCTATATACTTTTTGGGAAGGAAAAGGAGAACACTGACCACCCAGAGGAGCGTTCGGGGTTTTCGAGTGGTTATACTGTCTGTAACCAACTTAAATCCTTGATGAGCATCGACGATTTCTACTATGGTCATTGCCCCAAGCAAGAAAAATACAATTTCACTGACTTCTGCTGTTGAATGTGTTAGCTCTGAAACTGCAATTTCAGTGGATGGAGCCTACATATGAATTTATAATAAGAAGTAACTGAATGACTGCACAAAGCAAACAAATAAAACTTCAATATGCTAGAAAAGGCAGCAACGCCATGGAGGATTGCAACCAAGGTAGAAGCAAACTCCACTCTCCCTATCGTAATTTATGGCATACAGCATATACGGTGAATCGACTTTTGAGTGATTATTCTTAAAGCAATTGGATGCTAAAAATGAATCAGTTGTCGTTCGAGAAATGCAGTTTAAAGTAATATTTTTGGTATGCTTTTGCCATTTTGAAAGATGAGTAATGTAACAGCCGCTATGATCTTCCATTTGCGTTTTGGATGGAGAATGTAGAAAATGTCTACGAGATTGTCGATTGTTGACCATGGAATTCTAATGCTCATGAAGAAAATGCAGGAGAATCCAGATAGAGGAGAGAAACAAAGAAGTGTGTATTACTAACCATAAATTGCTATTCTGTTGATTAATAACACCGATGAAAGCATAAAATAGATCCATCAAATCAGCTGAATAAGTTCGTCAAACACGAACTAAAATAAATTATCACATTACATAGAATGAGTCACGCGAGATTTCTTTCATTGGAATGTTCATTAACTATTAAGTTACGAGATAAAACCGAAGCTTATACAATATGAAAACATCTCTACCAGAAATCTATAGATTTTCTCCAGGTAGTAAAGAAAATGAAAGTAGTAGAAAAGCAACAAACAAATTTTAAGTTCTATAATCAAACTCAAACAAACATCCCAAGTAAAACGGGCATGTATCGGAACGTTTTATATAGAAACTGAATCTTACCCCAATACTTCGAACAACCCATAATCCGACAGCCATCAATAATCCCACTCCACTCTTGTTGAAGGCAAGAGATTCTTCAAAAATGATTCCAGCATATCCTATACTAAACAACAACACCATAGCAAGATCCTGTAACACAAATTGGATAAAAAGATTAAGGACACATATCAAGCATACTGCACTTGTTACTTGTTACTAGATATATATATAGTTCAGAACAAGACACAAAAACTAAAAGAAAGAATCAGACAAGACCAAACATATGAACCTGATTAGCAGCAACCCAGGAGTGGTTAATTGCCACTGTCCCAGTAATGGCTGCAGCAAATATTGCAAAAGCTTTTAGTAAATCGGTCTTCGGCTGGTAACTAGCTTCGAAATCTTGTGAACTTATCTCGTCAACTGAGCATAGGGGATCACAGGTTCCTGACTTTGATGTGAATTCCTGATATTATGCCAGAGTTGAACACAAATAAATTCCTTACCAGCTCAAAGCTTTAGACATGGTATACTGATAAGTGATAACATCTTCATCATTCAGACGACAATAACAGTAGTAGAGAATGAATATACCATACTTCACGAATCAAAATGAGATTACAAATGAAAGATTGAAAGCATTATCGATCAAATTTCTATGTACCCTTTTACGAAATACCAGAATCCTACAACAAACAGTTCGAAACATTCAGCAAGAGTTTCAAAAAGGGAAACCTCGAGTTGATTACTGAAGCCGGGTGGAGCTGGCTGTTGCTGAAATGAAGAAGACGAAGCTGGTGAAGAGCCTTTTGCCTCGTCTTCAGCCCGCGCGAGAAGGTTCTTACGGAGCAACCTTGGAGTTCTGAGCCTGCTCGAAGAAGAAGCGTAGCGAGTGTGAAATGGGAGTGAAATAGGAGAAAGGGACTGAAGTGAAAATCTCTTCCAATGATGCGATGGGGGCAAGTGAATCCCAATGGAGAGGGAAGCCATTCGATCGAGCTCGAGCTAGAGATTCCACAAATGGGACTGTATTACAATTTACTAGTACAAGGGAGAAATTGGGTGGACTGGATATGGCAAAAGTTTTGCTCCTTCGTACTGGGGTCTTCACGATATGAAAAGGGTAGCGATGAATCAACGAGCAATTGCAGGAGAGTTGAATTGGGAAATGGGATTCCAGAAAATTTGCTTAATCCGGGACTTCCCAGTTTTGGGGTCCTTTCGATTTTCTGGGTTTGTTTCTCATATATACACCGAGATTTTCGATGCCAAAGAAAGGTACGAATTCCCACTCCTGATCTGAAACAGTAAAGTGTATATAAAATGGGAAGATTGCAGGAGGGTCCGACAAGAATTGGCAAAATTATATTTCAGGGTAATCAAAAGGCTTGGGAATTGGAAAAGGTATACGAAGTGGGCATCTGCAAAAGCTCATGGTTTCATGTTTGTTAAATCATTTTCTTGATTAGTGAAGTCTCCAAGGCAAAGATAAGATAAACTGAGAATCCCAGCATAATCCAACTAGTCAAATATATATCTTTCATTAAAAAATTGTAGGTTGGAATCTCTATCTTAAACTAATTTCTCAATTTGGATGGCTAATGAGATCGTTGATGATCTGTTAAACTTGTTATTCCATTAGAACTGAACTACAAATGGTCTAAATTATAGAAATTCTTGCTTTTGAGAGGGTTGGGTACCAATCAAATTAGGATTTTCTGTTTGTGGTTGAGAAGCATATATGCATTATTGTTATGCTAATATCCATGACTTTTTTTTTTCCCATAAAAATTGGGTTTTAATCGACTCATTTATATTATTACTCGACCAAAATATTCAAGATTTGAAGAAGAAATCCACAAATAGTTGAACAAAAAAAGTCAAATTTTCTTGAAATTTGAGAGCCCAAAATATGATGAATCCAAATCCAAATGGGTTGAAAATGGGCCTGAACGAGGGGCAGAAAGAAGCCACCTCTTGGGCCTATTGGTCCATCTACTAACGCAAAATTGCAAATAATTCACTAAATTTTGTGGTGCCACTATTAATCTAAATATTTTCGTTGACATTATTGACATTTTAGTTATTATTATTATTATTCATAATTACATTATTCACAAACTTTTAGAAAGTTTATTCCTACCCTTCGAACACAAATTTCTAAATCCAAACAAATCTACATTTACACATCCTATCTAAATTATCCCACGTTAAATTTATTAGATTTAAAATGTCGATCTTACCCCTCAAACATATCACAGCAACAATTTGTTACACAAAAATTCATTCTCCCTGACATCAAAACTCAAACATCTCTCTCTAAAAGAATTGGTTTATTTGGGTCCTCTCGAAACATCATTCAATATACTCACTGCGTTGCGACTATCCGTCCCTTCTTAATCCTTTGATATTAAACCGTTAGCCACGTTATACTATCCTCCTCGAATAATTTCTTGATTCGGTTGGCTAGTCCATGGCCATAGCTTTTAACACACAGGTAAAAATAGGGATATTTGAAGAGGGAATTGGTAGAAAGAGATATTATTTTGTGATTCAAAATGGGTTGGCCTCAAGATACAAAATTTAAGGGGTAGTAAGTTAAGTAGGGACAGTAGAGGGTGTCAAAGGATACCCAAAATCTTTGTCTGAGAGGGCAGACAATTGGTGCAGAATTTGACCCTATTTTTCACAAATTTAGGCCATACCACTTCCAAACCAAACCCTTCATCTTCAATCTAAAATCTTTTTTTCTTCATTCACTTATGAAATTCAAAAAAACAAAAAAAGGAATTTTAGTAATTGACTCTTTTTACCATTTTTCTTTAGGGTAAAACCAAGCTGTCTCAGCCCACAAGGACCACCAAACTTTGCACTGTTTTTTACCATTCTTTCTGAGTATAATTAAATGCTGTTTGTCCATTTCTCATTTAACATGTTGGAAGTGGGACAGCTTTTCTAGGTAACCTCATTTATTAATTTTTTTTCTCTCTTTATTTCCTCAACAGTTTTTTTTCTGTTTTATATCCTTATCTTTTTCCCTCCCTCTTTTGAATTTGGAGAGAATTGATTTCGAGAGGAGATTCAAAATTTCTTTCTAGTTCAACAGTTACAGGATGGAGTATCGAATCATCGACATTTGAGATGTGATATTATGTGTTTTATCTACTAAGCTATTCTTGGATGGTAGAGTAAATTCTAATCCACTACTATAAAGAGAGATATTTATGTATGATGATCGACAATTTAAATACTCATTTTCAGGCCTTTTACTATGCATATACATTATAAAATGATATTCATATTGATTCAATAATTTACATTAGGAATGCGACCAAAGTCCTAATTTGGTTGGGTGGAATACAACATTTAAATTGTTATGAATTTTTTTTTTGTTTTTAGTAAAATCAAAAGTAAAACTACTGGGTTTATGCTTAAAACAAACAATATTATACTATTTTGGAGATATGTCCTAACAATTTCATATAAAATATTCGAGAGTATACTTTTGACATCCATTTCATTAACCTTTCAAATAAATTTTAAAAGTCAATCCGAACATAATACAATCGCATAAGGTACATCTTACCATACGTTTGAGTTCTCATCTTAATGGTTGAATTGAAATATGAGAACGGAAAACAATATAGATAGAGTTGTCAACTCCAATCTCATGAGAAATAAATTTAAAGGATGAAAGTACTCATTAAACTAAAGGCATGAGATTGAAAGATGAGAAATGATAGAAGATTTAAATAAATGGAGACAGCCACAACTTTATCTCTTAGTCTTACCTCACTTCAAAAACTTACTTTGCTTCATTTATTATGTGATGTTCCTTTCACTCAGTTGGGGTAAATTTATGAGTTACTCCAAGGAAACCACTTTCTCAACACCCTCCATGGCCCATCAAGGAAAGTTACAATATCCTCCAAAATGTTCCCTTTTAACCCTTTTCCAAATAGTTAATTAATTTTTGTAAGATTTCATAAGTGAAGCTGTGAATAGTTAATGCCTTGTTCGACCTGTCTTTGGATCATGAAAAATCCTAAGATCAACAATATTTAACGTCATACCTCTTTTACTTTCAAAGAGATTGTCCCATTTGAGTTCGAGACGTAGAAATCGCTCACAAATTCTACCATCTAACTTTGCCTACTCGATATCCTTGAAAAGTATGAACAGGGCATTACTAATTTTCCAATACATCAAAATGAAACCATACACGTCGAGAATTCAAATGGGTCATACACACACAAAAGAAAGGGACAAGTCCATCACAAAAACTTGATCCTACACACATTGGATCCCCCATTACATAACATCAAACATTTACTCTATAGAGACACAAGAGAATTTGAATTCTTTCAGAAAAGAAAAAAACATTAAGTTGGGTCACGCATTGGGAGTGGATGTTTGAGAGGGACCATTTAGGATGCTGTTTTTTTTTTCGAGTCATTTAACATTGTCTGTTTCTGTTTCCCATTGGCAGCAGAAGTTTCCACAATTGCAGCTCCTCTGCTCACCAGATCATTCTGTACCAAATGTTATCTCTTCATTTGCTCTCTCTTTCTCTCTCTAACAACAAAGATAAAGAATTTATTATTTCAATTTTCTTTCTTCTTCTCATCC